TTAGAGCATTTACAGCTGGTAAGTGACTCAACACTATATTTGGGTCAGTAATTGTATCTGGCAATTGATACAGTAAGTTTTGTGAATGAATTATCTTTTAGACTTTTATTTCACATACTATCGTCTGAGGATCAATGATAATTCATTCTAACTTTAATCTTTCTCCAGCTGTTTTATTTTCTCCCCCTGATGTTGGAAAGACTGAATCACTAAAATGACAGTCTACAAATTGAGCCATATTTAAATCCTTCATGGATAGCTCTAAATATTATCATAGGAGATTAACATCCAACATACATTTACTATCTCTTTCGAGGGTCCATCTTATATTGTTGTGGTGGAGCGTTATGGATGTATTCTGCACATCCATAGATCTTTAGATGGAAAACTTTGGTTTCTGACCTAAACCAATTACGATGGGGAGAAATTTTAGTTATTCATTGGCTTTATGCGAATTAATGCTTTTGCATTATGTGTAATTATGAACATTTGCTACTGGATGTTCAACATTTATTCTTACAAACATGTTTTTCTCAACAAAGATTTAAGATGTGATTTCACTAGCACTACCAAGTAATCTCGCAAACTTCAGGTTGCAGATATGTAACATTGATACATACAACCACTTGTTGATATATTTAAGAAACACCATAACATTTCTCTTACTGGATGATCAGTCCATATAATGGTTTATTAGACCACAAAAGTTTCTTATATTCTTTCTAGAAATTGGATACATTCCAAATCTATTTTGGCTAGTTGGTAATTGTATAATCATAATGTCTTATGATTAAACATCACATTATAGATAATTAAGAAGAATCTTCAAGTTCTTCAATAAATCTTTACATGATGTATTTTATTTCGCATAATTCTTGAACCGAAATGGTCTAACCAGCTCATGCCAAACTATGTTATATTCGGTAAACTTCTAGTTTACTACATAACATTTACATCTCCTATTTAATCTTTGTCTATGATGAGGCATTAGATAATGTATGTTATTTTTCAAAATAATTTTACACCATTGAGTTACATTATATATGATTCATCAGGATTATTTTTAGTGTGAACATAATCTTCTAGATGTTCCACTTTCTAGTGATTGAGGGATTCATCCATTCTCCCCCTCGAGATGATGTCACTTCATGTTCATCAATCTCGAATGGAATCCTAGTATAAAATCAATAATATATCCAACTTGAATCATGTTTTATATCTTTGATTCTTTAAACTTTTTATATTTCTATTATGTGTTTGATTCTTTTCACTTCTGGGATTTCAAAGATATAATGCATCAAAAATTATTTACTATAAGCAAATATAAATTTATATACTCTTCTGGAGATGTGTATCTTTTATTTGCTGCCATCTTTATTTTCTCACTTCTTATGAGAATTTGAGTTCTTGAAATAAAACTCTTTAGTTTTGACCTTAACATGAACTATAAAAGATTCATATTCATGTCTATGATCATATCTTTAATCATTCATATCACATTCACTTCAGGGAATGGATCAAAACCAATTAGACAAGATTCAAGATTTTCATTAGTAACTCATTATTTTATCAAAATAATTTCTTAAACTTTCTTCAATAATATTTTGTCAGCTGGACAATATATGCCTTTTATCATCATTGATTTACATTATCTTCCAGATAAATAAAAATCATTTATAGACTTCAAGTCTTGTAATCTTAAATGCAAATACAAAATATTCATATAGAGGATAATTGAAAAATAAATAAATATTATCAAACATATATATAAACAAAATATAATAATATAATAAAATAATAATTAATATAAATAACATTACCTTTTTATTATCACTTCAAGTGACAAATTTAATTTTAAGAATTTATTTGCTATTGTGTCTACTGGACAACAATATTTTTAAAATATTCCTTAAATATATTTATGCTATTGTATCTGCAGGACAACAATATTTTCATAATTTCTTCTTATACATTTTTATTAGTAATATATTTTCACTTATAAACTTCAAGTTTATATGGTCTGAGATGCTCTATCAGATCATATCACTTCAGATGATTGTTCATTTTCTTTAGATTGCTATATTAGATCACTTCTAGTGATCATGCCTTTCTTTTTACTCAATGGTAAAATTATTACATTTTAAAATCATGTAATGATAGATAAATACACTTATTAGTATATAATAATAATAATTGATTTGTTAAACCAAATCAAACCAATAAATAAAACAAATCAAGGGAATAATTATACATTTATTTATAATATTAAATCAGATATGCAATAATATAATATATATTATTATTAGCAATGATCAAATGATAATTTAGCAATAATAAACAATCTCAATAGCAATATAATAAGCAATATACGAAGTTATGATGCAAAATCAAACAATATTATTTTAATAAAACTGATTAAGATTCATTTTAACAAAGCAGTCAACAATCATTAAATAATAATATTAAATATATATTCCAGAGTGATTTTAGCACTTATATTCAATTATAAATTCATGTGGTCAACAGGTCAACTTAAAAATTAATATGGTCAAGAATGTAATAATATTTCAAATTAATGCAAACAATGCAAATTAATTCAGATTTCTTCAATTTTCAATAATTATTCAATTTAGCAATTAATTAATTACGAAAATCAATTAAAATAACAAATATTGAAAAGCAAAAAAATAAATAAGAACAATATATATAAATGAAAATAAAATAATAGAAAATATAAAATCCTTCTGGGATAAATAATATCAATAAAATTTATAAATCCTGCTGGGATATTTAGTTGAAATATATTTATCCTTCTTGGATAAAAAATAAAAATTAAATCCTTCTAGGATAACAGAAAATATAAATCCTATTAGGATATATAAATAAAAATATATAAATTCTTCTGGAAATATAAATAAATTATATAAATCCATATGGGATCTATAAATAAATATATAATATAAATTATTTCTTCTGGGATATAGTGAAATATAAATCCTTCTAGGATATAAATAAAAATAGAAATAAAATATAAATCCTTCAAGGATATAAATAAAATAGAAATCCTTCAGGGATATAAATAAAAATAGAAATAAAATATAAATCCTTCAGGGATATAAATAAAAATACAAATCCTTCAGGGATGTATATAATTGAAATATATAATTCCTTCAAGGAAAAATAATATATAGATCCTTCAGTTTGCTGAATCCAAGATATTATCAATAAGTAATATAAATTAAGTATTGATAGAAATAGATTTTAGTAGAATAAACACAAATTAACAAAGTAATAGAGATTACTCATTGAATTTGTGAATTCACCATAAGAACTATTAGAACTTTTAGAACCTTTGATTTAGAGAGAATAGAAAGTTAAGAGGTAGAGACTCGTGCTGATAACGTGTTGTGAGAAAGAGAGAATGAAGATTGTCTTATTCCATGAGTGAAGAGCTCTTTATATAGAGTACATAGTAGGGTTCCAAGGGAAATCAACATTGGGAGAAGTGGGCCTAATGGGCATCCACCTATGGAACTAATGGGCATCCACTTACCCATAACAGAAAATCAATTGAAATGACTCGCAAACCTAAAGCCAATAGTAAATTACAATAACAATAAGCAGCATTTCCTAGTTAGTTGTTACGATGGTAGATTGTTACGATGTTGTAAACCGCTTTCTTCTGTTCTATCAAATTGTCATATATATCAATAAAGTGCAACAAAATAAAGGAGTGTTCTCTACGGCTTAACCCTCCCTAAATTGCAAAGCTCTAAACGCAAGATTCAGACTTAAACCTTATAGGAGGAGTCCAACAAGGTAACATAGATTATTCAATAAGGAAATTGCAAGAGTTCAAAGCAACATCAAACTCAAACACCAAGTTGATATGTTTGAAAAGATGAGAAACAAAAGAGAACAAGTTCACTGTCAATTATATATTACAAAGAAACATCACAAAACAAACACAAACGCCTCTTCCACGATTTTAATCCTTGGCAAGACTGTTGCTGCTGCGTTTCCTAGAAGCAATCTCCGCGTTCTGAAAGCGTGAAATCAGAGAAAAAAAGAAACACAAGATGAATATTTTTGTTTACTTTTTTTTTCGGTTAAAAAAAACCAACGGTAAAATATTTTTGTATTTAAAAAACTAATACCCATTGATGAGAGCGTTGTCGCCGGAATTCCTGTGCTTCAAAATTCCTCTTCAATTTTGGATACGCATTCCAGTAATCGTAAGCTTCTGAGGTATACAAACAAAACTAATAGAATCAATCGGGACTGTAACATTACAGGTTCACACGCCGTCAGCGTCTTCCCGTTCCCATCCTAACCGTGTCTTTTCAACCACACAATTCTTCCAATTTTTCTTACAAAAGTAAAATAAAACAATCAACATTATACTTTTTTTTTTGGGTACGAATCAACATTATACTTCATCCGTTTTATACAAGTCTTGTTCGTAAGAATCACACTTGAAATCCAAAGTCTCCATGATAAACTTCGAATCAATATAAAAGTGGGCCATGGGGCGAAACAAAGTATGGGCCCAATAAGTTGCTGTCCCATAACCCACGTGACTTGCTGACTGTGCCGATCCGTTCTTCGCGCTCTCGGTTTTCGCCTTCTCTCAGTGGCCCGATACATGAAAAGAATTATTGTATCACATTTTTTTGGTGTTCTCTTTCATTAACAATTGACCCAAGAGAAAAAAGAATACAAAATTGATCTCCGTCTTTGATACAAAAATGGAAAATCTATAGGGAGGCTCTCACCCAAACCCTAGATCTAACCCCAGCCGTCAGATCAGAACAATGGGGCGATCTCTTCTGGACCGTTGGAATCTTAGGAGACAGCAATGGTGGAGGTAGAATCGCATTTGTGGGTATCCAGAAGAGGCGTGAAGATTATTGTCTCGAGTTTGGGTGGTTTTTTTTTCATCTTGATGGCCAACAAGTCGAATTTCCTCTAGATAGTTTTTTTTGCGATTTTCCGGTGATATGTGTGATTTGGTTGCGCGTACGGGTCGGCTCCAGCAGCGGTACGAGGGTGGCTCCCGTCTCGTAGCCGGGTACTGTCTTTGATCCACCATCCTTGTTCCTTTTTCATATTAGCGTTTCCGTTCTCTCTCTGGAGTTTATGCTTTGGTATGTATTATGCAATGTGATTCTTCTCATTTATTCAACTGGAAGATTGTGGCTTGTGGGGCTACTGATCATGATGTGTACAGAAATTGGGGATTTCTTTGGTTTTTGAGTGGCTGCTTTGATTTTTTGTTTTTTTTTTTTCTCCATCTGCGTAATGAAATTGGACATTTTCTGTATCATGGTTTTCAATCTCGATTGGAATTCTATGTATCAAAGGTAGGAGATATGCACAATGATAGTTCTGAGCAGGAGGAATTTCTTGTGTTGACATGCTTAGCCTTTGTTTTGATTGTAATGGTCTTTTATCTGATAACCTGACTTGAGTCTTCCGGAGATGATGGACCATTGGACCTGGTTTAACAAGTTATATGTCTCGCATTTTGTAGGTGTATTCCGTTTAGGTATATAAACTCTAATGAAGATGGTCATTCTGAAACTGGGAAAGTGGTTCAAGTGTTGATGATCAGCTCATCTAGTGGACCTGGACTTTTGTTTCCCAAGGTATAAAGCAATTGCCGTTTGTTTCTTCTTGCTTTTCCTTTCGTTTGGAAACGAAGTTACATAATTGATTCATTCATTACAGGGAGGTTGGGAGAATGATGAGACAGTCAGGGAAGCTGCAGTGAGGGAAGCAGTGGAAGAAGCAGGAGTCCGTGGGATTCTAATGGTAAAACCCTTTTCGAAACACAGTGTAGTCCTTTGTTATTGTTAGGTTCTGGTGTTGAATGTGTTAAAAGTGGGGCTTTGCAGGATTTCTTGGGAGATTATGAGTTCAAGAGCAAGACTCACCAAGACGAGTTTAGCCCAGAAGGTTTATGTAAAGCGGCGATGTACGCATTGTATGTGAAGGAAGAGCTAAAGACGTGGCCTGAACAGGACACGAGAACAAGGACATGGCTGACGATTGAAGAAGCTGTAGAGAGTTGCAGGCACGCTTGGATGAAGGAGGCGTTGGTGCAAGGATTCTGTAAATGGCATAAGGAGAAGATTGGGAAAGGGGATGTGGTAATAGCAGATGAAGATTGAAGCTAAAATGTGCATAAAACTCCGGAAGTTGGTTCCATTTCTTTTGAATTTTGTTTCTTGTCAACTCTTTTTAAGTCTTATGCATGGAGAAGCTTGTGACTGAGAAACATAGGCGTTTCAAAGTCTTTTAAAGTTTTATTATTTCCCTGTTCAACAGTTGTCTTCATCATTTTTCAATAATTCTGAGAAGAAAAACAGCTCTTAACAATCGTGTTTATTACTATTAGCTGCTTTTCTATGGTGTCAGCGTCATACAATTATGAGTTCTGTTATAAATAATTCACATTCGAAACGTGATGGATCTAATATATAATGTATTATTAGCTAGCATAACTATTGTGAAAAATTTCTTTTAACTTCACTTGAATCATTTATGAACAAAAACCACTTTTTGTTTTCCCTTCTCATCATCATCATCAGTTCAGTTCTTGAAAAAAAAACAAAATATTTAAATCATTTAAGATCTATATAAGATTGCTTTAAATAATTATACATGTGCTACTATATTCCATACACCGGGAAACATATTGGATCGGTATACGTAATACGTATAATACCCATTTCGTTGCTGGATACAACATATTAGCTGTAGAGCTTAGCATTTAAAAGGAGAACTTAAAAAGAAAGAAAAGTAAACTAAAGGAAGAAAATAACAAATTTGATACAACGAACAAGATCAACCGGAAACTTGAAAAAATCCATCCATAATGTTAACATGTCTTCATCAAAGGGCCACCGCATAAACATTCGTTGTCACTAAACGACGACGCTTCTAGGTGATCGAAAGGAGAACCCATTGGTATAGGCCCACAAAGCCTGTTATGGCTAACATCAAAATGGCCTACGAACTTGGCTGACGACAGCGAATCAGGGATCCGACCCGATAACTTATTGTAAGACAAATCAAGCGCCACGAAATATGTTTTTGACCCGAATACGTCGGGTATGGACCCTTCCAACCCATTTCGGCTAACATTCAAAACACCGAAACCCGAGTTGCTCAAAATCGAACCGGGAATTTGACCCGTCAACGAGTTGCAATCGAGATTCAATACAGAGAGTACCTTCATGTTACCCACCCAATCCGGTATCGGACCCTCAATATGGTTCCTGGATAGATCCAGATCCGCTAACCGAGCCATGCCCGAGATCGACACTGGAATTGACCCGGTTAGTTCGTTACGTCCCAGTAACGCTCTGCTCAACATCTTCAACGATCCGAAATCGGCCGGGATCACGCCGGTGATACCGTTCTCCGTTAATTCAAGATGCTTTAGCTGGGTGAGTGACGTCAGCGACGGTGGTATCTCGCCGGACATCTGATTCTCCGCGAGGTTTAGAACAGCGAGTTTGGAGAGTTTGCCGATTTCCGCGGGAATCTCTCCGGTGATTCTGTTTCCGGCGAGGTCGAGGATACGGAGCGAGGCTAAGGAGGTAATGCACGGCGGAATCTCTCCGGTGATGCCTTTCCAGTCGGCGAGGACGAGGGATGTGAGTGCAGTTAAGTCGCAAACCGCCGGGTCAATTGAACCGGTCATATGACCGGACCGGCCAGCCTTTTGGAAAATGGCATCTTCGGATTCGCCCCGGAGAGAAATATCGGTGACCCGACCGGAATCCGGATCGCAGCTAATACCGTACCATTGTTTGCAACAGTCGGTATTTTCCGACCAGGTGTTGAAGATGCCGAGGTTAGGTTCGCTCAGTGAGGACTTAAAAGCATTGAGAGCCGTTAGATCGGAAGGGGAGCAGCATCGGACGACGGATAAGACGGATAGGAAAACGACGGCGAGTAATGAAGTAAACGGCGATGCCAACAACTTTTTCATCTTTTGAAATAAATATTTGATAGTGATGAAGGAAGTAGTAGTGTTGTGTGAGAATTTGGATTATATAGAAATGCCTGAGGCAAGAAATGAGAGACACTGCATGTGCATGGTATCATGGGCATGTGCATGTTACTACTTTTGTTCTATATATTATCTTTGCGAATGTATTCTTTGTCATTCATTTACTGTACTAATAAAGACGAGAATCATGTGTGCATGTCAGTTTTTACTTAACAAATATTTGATTAATTCGGATGGATCGAGTGTCCAACAAAATAAGTTCATGTTGATTCATAATTATATTTTTCTCTATACTGATTATGTTGATATTCTTCAAAGTGAAATTATTTAATAAATTAAAATGTAGTTTAAGAGTATAAATTCAACTGATTTAATCAAGTTTGTGGTTAAAAGTACAACCGCAAGAAGATCCTTAAAAACTTTGCAGACTGAATTATAAGATAAAATTATGTATTTACGAGGAGGTTTTACATGGGTTATTATAACTAATGCATATTGTTAAACAAGGCCATAAAGAGCCATGCATGAATCATGCAGGATGATCAACTTCCTAATTTCGTAAGACCTTTTGCTATATTACGGCAATCATATTCACAAGATGATATCTCTGTTACCGAGACTCCAAAACTTCACATCAATAAAGCATTATGTATGACTAATTATGATTAATGATCTACCAATTATTACAGACAACATTCAATAAAACAAAATATGGTTGGTCCTCCATAAATACTTTTACATGTGACTCATGTGGTCCTACAGACGCATTTAAGTATCTCCTTCTCACCTGTCCAATATTCGATCTTTTCTTCTAATTTCTTATGCCAAATCTACCATCATTCAAATTCGGTACATTTGATATACACAACTAGTTATACTTATATTATTCTGACGTATAACTTTTTCTGATAACTATTTCACATATAACCTAGATGAGAACATACTGCAATATTTTTACCCAAAAAAAAACATACTGTAATGTTTATATGTGATGAGAACATACTGTAATACTGGAGTATTTATATGATCGATATTATTAAAGCTTTTCCAGCATTTATGACTCAAATATCGTAGTTCGCGTTGTCTTGGTCAGGACATGATTCAACCCCCATCACATGCCCAGGGGGTCAAGATCCATATATTTCCCTGGAGCTGTCTTTCCAAGTAAAAAACAAAAAAATGTATGTGTTTAAAATACTTAGCAGATGTAAAGATAGATCATAAGTCTTTTGTTTGGTTTTTATTTCGATTCATATTTGTGTAAATTTTTCAAGGTCTTTTCAATAATTAACAATTTAACACTATGGAACTATTGCTCCGATGAAAAATTCATCCTTGGACTGTTTTACGAATATTTAATTCGTGACTGACAAGTGATAAGATTATTTGAATTCTTAGAGCATCCGCATCGCACAAGTGGATATGGAGCTCTTTAAATTTGTAAAAGTGTAATTATATTAATAAACTAATTGTAGAGCCTGTTTATAATTTTTTTCACTTTGTAGCTCCACATTGCATAACTAAAATGGGGTTCTCAAAATCTGATTTTTTTTTTTCAAAGTTAAAGAAAACAACTAATTTGACAATTAGATCAATTAAAAACCAGTATCTAACCAAATTTTAACAAACATATCATCAGCATCTTCGATCGCATGTGTAGTTTACATAGACTTTGTAAATAGACCAAATCCCACACATCTATAAAAGCTTTAACAAATTCGGAGAAGAAGAAGTCTCGGCGGTGGCGAAGAGAAGAAGGAAAACGTCGTATGAAGGAGAAAAGAGACCAACGAGAAAGAGAATAACAATGACAAGAACAACGTCAAACAACGACGAGAAAACCAGCCGGCGATCGAAGAAGAAAGAATTCGAGCATCGGATCGGAGAAGGAGACGGAGCGTACGATGAAAACTCAATTTAGAAGAATGAAAAATAAAATAAAGTAAAAATATAAGGAGAAAAATAAATTATGGCGGGTCTCTCTAGTGCCGACATGTGACAAGTAGAGCCGTCTCCACAGACCCTTCCGCGAGAGTCGTCTCTCAAATTTATTTGTGCCACATGTGTAATTTTTTTATTTAATCTTTAATTTTATAGAGTAGAGTCGCAGAGAAATCCTGCAATGCGGATGCTCTTAGACCTTGGAAAGCAACGCATTTTGTCTTTGGCATAACAGACGAATTTACAACAGTATCTGTCTCCAACGTATCATTTACATTTTCAATTTGTATGTTAAAGTCGATACATTAAAAAAGACCCCAGAAGCAAAAAAATGGTTGATGATGCAATCAGTAGTGTAAGTAAACCTTTTCAACAAGTGATATCTCTTTATCATAATAAACTCAGTTTGCCAAAAAGACCTATACATTGGTGTTTCAACTCTTAATATTTTTTTTTTTGTTTTTTTTTTTGGGATGAATAAAAAAACAGAGTTAAAAGGACTTTTCTTTTTGTTATATATAAAGGAAAAAGAAGGTTCTTGAAGTTGTTTTCTGCAGTGTGTTTATATATAGTGGATATGTATTATATAGAATAATATATAGATGGTGGTGAGAGTGAGTCAAGTGGAAGAAGTTCCAGCCAAGTCACCACCGCCTGATATGGAGACGAGAGGCCGGCGTGAGGAACTTCGACTGACGAGATGTGAATCAAGAAACACGACAATGACCGTTATATCATCATGAAAATGTCTCCTCACTCCTCTATCAATCTTTTTTAGATCCGAATATCTCATCTCTCTCTTCTTTGCTGCCTCTCTTAGAGCTGTTTTTATCAGCTTCCTCGCAATTCCCTGCACCACCTCATGTCTCAATCCATCTGCTCGCGAAAAGAAAGAGAGAAAAAGGGCAAAGAAGAATCTTACATTACGCGGACAAGTATTGACAATGTCAACAGCTTCTTGATTGCTCAAGTGCTCCCACAAGCCGTCTGATGCAAATATAAGAAACTGATCCTCTGGATGGATTTTGTGTACTGTAATTGCAGGCTCTGCTTTAAGTATTGGCGTATGGAAAACCTCAGGCACTCTGAACTTTGCCAATAACGGCTCTCTGTTGAATTCTGCTTTCTTTAAGTATGCATCACCAATTGACCGTGACACCTTCAAGAACCGGAACAAATGTTTCAGAATTAGAATGTTCTATTCAAGAAATGGACCATTTGCATTAACCATGAAAGTCCTTTTTTTTACCTGTATAATACCTTTGACACGCCAAACTTTGTGCTTCAAGACGACAATCTGATCATCATTCGGATGCAGCAATCGCAGCTCCTCTCTCACAGATTCAAGACTCGCATTGTGCTCGGACGACAACTGAACGGCCTTTACAAGTTTGAACGCTCTCTCCAGTCTCCCTAGCACAACCCGAGAATCCCCAGCGTTTGCAATGTACAACAACCCACTACATATGATCCCTACCAGACAACACGCTCCAACGGAAGCAATCTGCGGTTTCGTCTGCCACTGCCGCCGCACAAGCGAAAGAAACTCTTCCTCTGTAGCTAAAAACGCTTTCGTTATCACAGATGCAGACATTCCATGGTTCTCTGATGTAAACTCTGCAATCACACACCAAGTTAGACCCCAAATCTACTCAAAAACAAGGATATTAAGAGAAAGGAGAAGGAAACAAACAACATACTCCTGATGTTATCGAAGAGGTGTTTATTGACAAACCGAGCAGCTTCAGGACCTCCATGACCATCATAAACACCAACAAAAGTAGCTTGAGGACCAGAATCAAACATGCTAACAGGTCCAGACTCAAGCTTGCTATGATCCTCGAGAAGATTATTGGCTTGAATCACAGACATTGAGAAATCCCCAGCGACGTGGTTACCGGAATCTTTATACCAAAGAAGGCCATCGCATCGTCCATTAGCGTCTCCGTTTTTGTTTGAATCTCCCTTCACAGAAGGCCGCTTCCAACATGGTGCTACCATCCGCAATATAGTTGCCGATACCATAACTCACATAATAATCCCCTCAGAAACAAAAAAATCTCCACTTCATCTATACAAAAATCAGCTTTAAAACAACGCCCCCAACGCGATTCCTCCTTCCCTAAAACAAATTCAACATCCCCTCTATGAAATCAATCTACATTGCGACATATTACAATACGGATTTCGATTCGTAATCAGAGAAACAAGGAGAAATTTGTGATGATGAATGGTTACCTTAGTGTTGAATCGCGGAAGCCGCAAAATGATGCCGCTCGATCGGGTTAACCGGAGAGTTGATGAACGGGATCGAGATCGGAAACGGAATGTTTCGAGGAGTTACGATAAGAGGGAAATCGTAACTCCGGTTGGGATTAGAGAGGAGAAAGAGGGAAAGAGAAGATGACAAACAAAAAAACAAATCTTAGCAGCGACTCTGTCAGAATTCCATATTTGGGATGTTCGATTTCTCTGAATTTTCTGATTTTAAATTTTTTTTCTTTTTTCTTTTCGTCGATGCTTTTTTTCTTCATTTGCTTTCGAGTTTAGCTGTTTAGGCATTGACCTCAGAAACAACCCGACGTTTTAGGCAGCTTTTTCTCCCAAATTTAGCAACGTTTCTCCATTTTTCGAGATTAATTCAATAATTAAATACTACTAATACTAATTCTAATTCATGTAATTAGGTTTTTAATTTATGAAAATAAGCATTTTATTGTGGATTTGTGGGTAAGGTGGTTGAAAGACCAATATCCAAATAAACAAAAATAATATGATTGTATTGTTTGGAAACCTCGGTTGTAAATTGTAAGAAAAAGGAAGCATTTCGGGCAACACAATCCACGTTTGTGTTGTCTAAATGTGGTCAGGGAAATAAGACCATTGACATGCAAACCATTTTTGCCCATGTCACCGCCTTTATTTCAGCCTGCCAGCCTAAAAGCTCTATGCAAGCATATAAAATTTAATATCTGCAAATTGACATGTTAGACTTGGACGCATCGTTAGATTTCGAATAGTGACAGTAGATGTCAAGAGATTTTTCTTGTTTGTGCAAGTCATCAAGAGTTTATGAGACGACATTTTCAACACAAAATTGTATAGCTTCTATAAGTATACTCGAATTTATAATCTCTTAAGAACAATAAAGTCGATTTTTCTTCCACTAAGCTAATAACATCAAAAGAATTTTTTTCACTTTCTGAGTAACTAAAATACGAGTGAGTTACTAGTAAAACACTTAAGAATAAGGCGTAACTTCACTCTTCATGAATTCAATTCTGATTGGAAGCACTTTTGTATAGTTGAAAAGTTGTTGTTTTGTTCTATATCATAGTTAAAAGCTATAAAGAGAGGACCATGATGTGTTTTATTTCTTTGGCGAAGATACATTTATAAACAACTTGGCCCATATCCCATCGATTTCGCTATCCCCTAGTATCTCAATTATAAAAAACTACAATGAATAGTTTAGAGTCTACTCAAAGAAAATAGCAAAAAGAAAAGAAGAAAAAGATATGAAAAAGAAACGTATTGTCCGCTGTATGGTGTCATAAGCCATTCTAGAATCATTGAAATGAATATTTAATCCTCTGTAATTCCGCGAAAGTGGGAGGGTGTTTACGTAATTACGCTCAGAGGACGGAAAGTGGGGGTGGTGGAGAGAGATGATAAGAGTTGGAAACGCGTCTCTTTGAGGCCCATATTCCATCGATTTCCTCTCTCTTCGTCTCTCTCTTCTCTCTCTCTCTTCTCATACCGATCCGTAGCTCGCCGGAGGAGGAAATCAGAATAGATGGCGCAGAGAACGGAGAAGGAAGAGACGGAGTTCAAAGTACTCGAAACCTTGACGACGCTCTGCTCCAATAACTGCGGCGTCACAGCGAACCCGGCAACCAACAACATGTGTCAGAAATGTTTCAACGCCTCCGTCGCAGCCGTCTCCGCCGGTGTAGATTCCGGTTCGATCCTGAAGAGATCCGCGAGATCCCTCAATCTTCGGTCACCACCGGCCAAAGTCGTAATTCGGAGCAGGGAGATCGACCCGGTGAAGAGAGATCAACAGATCGTTAACCGATGCTCCGGTTGCCGGAAGAAGGTCGGGTTGACCGGATTCAGGTGCCGGTGCGGTGACCTTTTCTGCTCCGAGCACCGTTACTCAGATCGCCACGATTGCAGCTACGACTACAAAACCGCCGGTCGCGAGGCGATCGCTCGTGAAAACCCGGTCGTCAAGGCGGCGAAGATGGTCAAAGTTTAAGTTATAATTCAAATCGGAAGGAAACTCAATCGTGGTGGTTCAAGCTCGATCTACAAAGATCGGAAAATCGTTAAAAGAGAGGATCGGAGACATCGATTTGGTGGTGCTGTTTGTAACGAAGATCAGAGAGATTCTCTGCTCGATTTCAAAAAAAAAATCTGAACCTCGATTTTTTTTTACTTTACCGTTTCTTTTTTTTCCGCTTAAATTATATTAGTGAATGATTATTATTGTGGCTTTACGGATTCATGAAATTGCTTCGGATGTGATCTTGCCGATCATCGAGACAAGTTCTCGAGTGGCATGTGTATGTAGATTCGGTAGAAAAGAAGGGGTGGTTTGGTAATCTATGAACGTGTCTGTCTCTGGTTTCGTGTGGTAGAAGATTAGCTGTACTTATCAACGATGTTACTAGTCATTGTGCGTCACAACTCACAAACCCAACTTTCTCTCGACAACTTTGCTTGGCGTATAAAATAGTAGCCAATAACGACGTGTTTGAGTTGTATGATTATAATTTTCTTACGTAAATAACCAAACAAGTGCTTGTGTGGAAATTTGTTTCCTTGTTAATTATCTTCATGCAAAATCATGAGAGTTTAAGCTCTTAAACAACATGGTTTACCTCGTGAAAAAAAATAAAAAGAAGGCATATCTCATGCAGCTATCATTGATAGTACAATGGATGAAATGACTATTATACACGTCGACCAACCCTACTTGAAAAGTCAGTTTTCTCCAGCCTCGTCTGTTGTGCAAGTAATAATGCTACACACAATTAGTTTAATTGTCAAACATCAACTTGGAATGAGAGGAGAGTAGACATTTGGTGGGAGTTTTTATATATAAGTTGTCATGAAAACTGCATATTTTCTTGTAATCCCGTGTACAATATATGTCTCTCTCACACACCACTTATGGTTACCATATTATAATGAAATTACTTATTTTTGTAGAACTTGATGTTAACTGTTGATTATTATTCAACAAATATGTAAGAACAATTCCTTTCCACTTTTAACTTAATTTTCCGGGATTTCTTAGCTAGTGGACAACAAAATATCATGCAACTATCATTCTAGTAATTTCACAGAAAAACTATTACTGCAGTACATATATTGATTCGTCGAGAAGCAAAACAAAAAAGAAAGTACTTTTCTAAGTCGGAGGACCTAATAAATTTTACCTGTTTTGGCCCAACCCAATTACGAACCTCATTCTAAAATGTACAGTATGTTTTCCAGGGGCTTTTAATTTGTTTTTTTGGGCAGTGTATAAATAATATCAAAACTCGTACCGTCCGTCGAAACGAATCCCCTTGATATTAATCAGAAATCGACCGGCTTGCTCTTTCGATTCCTCCGACCGAAAACCAAACCCTAGCACCCACCGCCGGAATTCGTAAAATCTCTCCGTTCTCAAGTTCGTATCGCGATTTGGCTAGGGTTTCGGTGGCATGAAAGTAGGATATTGATTTGTTGTTCTCCGCTCCGTCATTGCCAGGGCACGTTAGGTCAGGTTTCGATATAGTAATCGCAAGGGAATTTCAGTGGAGATGGGAAGCGCCGATCCGGTCGATGATCGGACCTTCAATGGTAATTTCAGTGAGGAAGGAGTTGCGAAGTTGAAAGAGATGGTAAAGCATAAACTGAAGGAGTACATGGGATATTCAGATGACACTCTCGCGGTATGATTCAATTGTCGATTGGTTTCAGAGATTTCGAATTAGTGTAGAGTAACATTGGTAATTGTACACCGATTTCGTCCTTGTTTCAAGCTGCAGGCAATTGTATTTCGATGGGGTTATTCGTGTTCCTTGTTAGCTAGAATCGCTGAGTTTTAGTGTACGCCTTAATGCTGTTGTGATGCTGAGAAATTCTCTTAGAATCCAAATGACACTAAAGTATTTTGCTTGCAGGATTATGTGATAGTTTTGCTTAGAAACGGGAGACGGAAAGAGGAAGCAAAGAATGAATTGAAAGTATTTCTTGGAGATGATAGCGACTCTTTTATAACCTGGTATTTGAATAATTCCTACCTTTGTGAAACAAAGTTTTATTGCCCTTATAGAAGATCTCTTTGTAGGAATTGGAATTCACTAGGAAGATATATATGCAGGTTGTGGGATCATCTGGCTGAAAGTCTGGATGATTACTTTATTGCTCTTATTGAGCAGACTACCAGTAAAAATGAGGAGAAGGCACTTGTGCCTATGGATTCTGAAACTGAAAAGGGACGATCTGGTACTCGCCGTAGTAGACAATGGAGAAGCCAGCCAAGTAATGCTCCTGAGATTCCTCCACTTCTGAGCTCTGAGGTTCACAGAATTCATGACTACGAGAAGAATGATCACAAACAAAGACGTGATAAAAGGTCTCCATCTCCCCAGTCTCAATCCCACAGGAAAAGGACTAGAACTGATGACTCGCGGAAAGAACAGGTTTGTATGCTGTTTAATAGCAATTGCTACGTAGTAGTTAGATTAGAGAACTGAAAAATATTGCTTAAAGATAGTTCACTGGATGGGATGTCATGTCATATCTTATTGTGAAGACGTTCTCAGAGTAAAATTTGGTTCAAAGGGTACCTCTGCGTCTGCTTTGTTTAGGATTAACACGTGTGACGTCCTCAACTAGTCTTAACTGTGTTATTGGGTAGTCTTTTGGCAGTCTTTTAATGCATGTCGTGATGTAAATATGATGTACGGATATTGGTTATAGTTCTCTGATTCTGTTTCTTCGACCTCTTTGATAGAGGGAGGCTAAACCCGATGTCTCTCGCCGGCTGCTTCAGTTTGCTGTGCGAGATGCTCTGGCAATACCAAAGCCGCCAACTAGTTCAACTGGATCCTCATTAAAACGTCTTCGTTCAGTGGTGGCTGCATCTACACAAGACTCATCTGACCCTGACCCAGCTCCGAAAATTCGATCTGTTGCGAGGGTTGTGAATCCCATGGCTCATGTTTTAAAAGCCGTCGCTGAAGCAGCAGAAGATGTCAAAAAACCAAAATCTGGGAAAAGTGTCTTTGACAGAATAAGCCACTCTACTGGTTTTTCTGGGACCCGAGACCAACATATGGTAAATGGTGAAGTTTCTCCTGTGAATGAAGAATCTAACAACAACGGCGTGTATGATGAGAACATGACGACTTTTGACACTAGCTTGCAGCCAAATGTTTCGTCTGGTCGAAGCAGACTCAGTTCAAGTGCTAATGCGTTTCACCCAAGTTCTTTTCCTGGGAACAGACTTAACAATCCAAATAGTCTGCAGCATCGTTTGGTCAATGACCCCAAAAGAGTTGAAGCTGAGAAATCTGGCAATGTAGATACTGGGAAATCAGTAAGGTTAGACGAGCCGATGAAAGTACCAGACGTGGGTCTGCAGAGATTTATGGACGGAGGCATCACACAATCATCAACTGAGAAAATCTTGAGTGATACAACAGGGAATGGAATTGTAAGTTCCATGTTTTAGATGCATGCTCGTACGAGCTATTTCAATGATAGTATTCTTGTTGGCTTATTAAATATGAAATAAGTTTTCTTGTTCTTGCAGATAAAAACTGGTGCCAATGCGAAAGATGATGTGATGTCTAAGAAATCTGTTCCTGGTGAGTTGTGAAACTATATTAGTCTTAAGCTATTTAAGATTTATGGTATTGTAGTTTCATTTGTCTTTGACAAGTTCTCTTCTTTGGTTCTTGTCGGTTTAATTCTTCTGCATAAGTTGGTCTAAATATGATATTACTGGCATATGCAGGGACATTACCCACCCGCCCTTTGGAAGATGCTAGTTCTCGAACAATCTTTGTCGCCAATGTAATGATTGTTACTGTTTTACTTACTCTTGAACTGGAATGGAATCACTTTTCAATTGGTGTATTGATTTGAGATGTGGCTGATCGTAAAACAGGTTCATTTTGGCGCCACCAAGGATAGCCTTTCAAGGCATTTCAACAAATTTGGTGAAGTTCTTAAAGCTATTATAGTTACAGATCCAGCAACAGGGCTACCAAGTGGGTAAGTTATCTGAATTCACGACCCTAAAGTAAATTGTCTTGATATTGTGGTTATGCTGGTTCATCTACGGGGACACCTTTGGTGACAAAAGCTGTTCGCTTTTTGCAGATCAGCATATATCGAGTTCACGCGCAAAGAAGCTGCAGACAATGCATTATCTCTGGATGGTACCTCTTTCATGACTCGGATTCTCAAGGTAAATACTGAAACCCGTGTTCAACTCTGTTTTTACCAAAGCAAGCTTTTTTACAGTCTCGAGAAATGAATGTAAGAATCTTAGTAGAATGAGTTGTGTGTAATGTGTATTGCATTTGATGGATGCAGATTGTGAAAGGAAGCAATGTGCAACAACAGGAGGCTGCGTCGAGCATGACATGGCCTCGTGCAGGAAGGTTCACAAGAGCAGCGTCCTCATACCGAAGAGGTGGTCCATTTAGGGGACGTTCGGTTGTTAGAGGTGGAGGCAGGAGTATGCAATGGAAGCGCGATTCAGCCGAGACCGGAAACAACGTTGTAGCTCCCAGTCCTCGTAGTCTGACTTACGTCCGAACAGAATCAACATCAGACGGAGGAAATGCAGCAATTTGATAGATAAAAAGACGAGCAAGAGCTAGGAAAAAAGAAAAGAAAAGAAAAGAGGAAGATGACCTATATCATCATCTGCCTAATCGGATTTTCGCATTTTGTTTTTTCGTTAAGCATCATACTCCAAACTTGCTGATATTCGTTCTTATTCATGACGTTTATGGTTCCTTTTTTTCTGTATGGATATTAAAGAAAAGCAAAATAAAAATTGTATTTCAAAGTAGCTCTTCTGTTCCATTTTCATGGGGATACCAAGAGGTACAAATTTCCGAAACACAAGCCACCAACGCACAAGATGGAAACAACACGAGCTCTTACGAACAACAAATTGAGATTCTTTGCGACCTGAAGAGTCAGAGTCAGAATCTGCAGCCTCCCAACTTCCTCCATCTTCTTGAAGAAGTACATTGGCTTCAACGACCGTCTCACCATCAACGCCATCGCGAACGGGAATCCAAACGCTATACCGCTCTGAATCGTCATTTCTAGCATCGGATTCGATCGAGTCGCGTACAGAATTGTGCCTCCAACGATCAGTTGCGTTAAACCCAGAAGACCCATGGCTCCACTTAGACTGTACATGTTCTTCATCATCCCTTCAAACACTTGTCTCGTCTCATTCCCTAGCGCCGACACGTCGCGCTCCACCGTCGGTCCTTCGATCTCCTGGTGCTTCATCTTCGGCTCCTCCGGCTTCGACTCCTCTGTCTTCGGATCGACCTCTCCGCTCGGTGTCGAGAAATACCTCGGTGACCATGTTTCGGATCGCAGCTTGCCGATATTGGTATTTGAATTGGCGACGAAAACAGCGAAGGATCTTATGAGGCTTAGCTCCCGAGTTTCTGATCCGTGGATCAGATGGTTTCTTATGGAAGAGATGGGAGAAGAGGAATGGAGGTGACGGTGGGAGGCGTGGAAGGATGAGGAAGACAAGGGTTTAAGGAATTTAGAAGCCAATCGACGAGAGATCATCATCGTCGCTCGTCGCTTAATTCGATGGAAAGAAGAAGAAAGAAGCTCTACTTAATTAGGGTTTCTAACTGAAAATGATCAAAAATTTCTGGGCTCGCTCTTTTATTTTGACCCAGTCCATCAAATTATACAAGTCAATTTCAATTTTAGCTAGACAAGTCAATTTTTGATACATTTTTTTTTTAATTATTATTTACAACATTTAAATTACATTTAAACTGTTCGTCACTCAAGAATTTAGGCGTCAATGGAGATGAATTTAAGATAACATTTTTATCATCATCATTCATCACATTTGACATTTCATTACCAATATCATCGCTTTTGTATACATACAATACAATACAAACTCAAATGTTGCAACAAGTGGCTTATATAACAGTGAATAACGCTTAACACTTAAAAATGTCCCGACAAGTGCTCTTAATCTAAAAAGAGACACAACACACAAGTTCCCTCAAAGTCTGGAGAAACATACTCTCTTCCTCTTGCCTAATGATGATGAAACACAAATCAAACTCTATAAAACTCATTCACCAAAAAAAAAAAAACTCACCGATCAATTAATCCACCATGTCTTCTTCTTCATGTGCAATCTTCTTCTTCTTTGCTTCCACATTCCTCTACACTTCATCGTACTCATTCAACATCACAGAAATCTTAGACCAATACGATGATTTCTCCACCTTCAACGCCCTCCTCTCCCAAACCAAACTCGCTTCTACCATCAACCACCGTAAAACCATAACCGTCCTCGCTTTCTCCAACGAGGCAATCTCAACCTTCTCCGGCCAATCAAACACCGTGATCAAGGATATCCTCAGCCTCCACATCATTTTAGATTACTACGACATCGAGAAACTCGAGAACATGAACAAGATGTCACTCATCCTCCCCACGCTCTTCGAATCAAGCGGTGACGCTAAAGGCAAACAAGGGTTCTTGAACGCAACCCTTACGAGAAACGGAGACATTGTGTTTGGATCTGCGGTTCCTGGCTCTATCCTTAACTCTAAGGTTGAAGAGTCTGTGGCGTCACAGCCGTTTAACGTCTCGGTGCTTCATATCAGCAATGCTATAATGATTGACGTTGGAGCTCACGCACCTACTGGTTCTTCTTCACCGGTTTCATCTCCACCAAGACCACGCCCTGCACAATCTCCTCATGATAGTGGTGATCATGAAAATGCTGACTCAGCCAATGGAGTTTCAAAACTCAATTCTCGGTTTGACTTGGCGTTTGCGCTGGTCATGTCATCGTTTTTGTGGTTCATGACGGTTTTGTGACGATGAGAAACAGAGTGTATAAACTTAACAAAGCAGCATAAAATGAAAGGCAGAGAGGACTGACAGCAAAAGGTTTCAAATTTTTTACCAAAACAAAACAAAGGAGCAATTTTGACAAGTTTTTTTGAAAGAAGACAAGAAAAACTCCAAGAAGAAGTAAAGTGATTGATACAATAAAGATGGAGAAAATTGTAAAGTATAAAATTATTTGGAATGGTACAAAGTAAAAAATTAAGTTGTGATAGATACCAATTGGTAACCAGAACAACAAAACTACAAGGCTTCTTGTTGTTTAGACATTGACGGCTCATTGCATGGTTGCGTTGCATGAAAATAAAAGACACAAAGAAGCTGGCTTCATATTAAGTAGATAACTAGACTAGAGATTCTTTATTATTTGTAGATATGAAAAGGCAAAAAGCATTCCAAGAACAGGAAGCACATTCACATCCATGTCTCTCCCCAAACCCAAACCCATCAACAAGTCTTCAAGACAAGGAAACAAACCTCAGGGGCTATACATGCAGACCGTCTTTGATTAAAGGAAAAAAAAAACCAAGAAAAGCTTTTAACGGCTGCAACATTGTTCCTTGCTTGAGTCAGTGGTGAAACCCGTTTCCATTGCTATACACATTGCCGTTCTGGTAAACTCTCCCCATTCCATTGGCTATTCCATTTGTCGAAACTCTGTTCATCTTGCCACCTGTTTCCAGAACTGATTCTAGACACCCAGACGCTGCAGCGATAAGACCTGTTTGTATCAAAGTGTTTCTCAATTAGTCACAACATCAACACATGTTCTTACCATTAAGCTCAAAATAGCCATCTGAACTAGATATAGAGTCCAGAACATACCTAAAAACAACGCAGAAGGTTTTCCAGGTCTGGACTTAAACTCAGGATGGAACTGAACACCCACAAAGTATGGATGAGTTGGAAGTTCCACAATCTGCACACCAAACCAGCAGAACAATGAATCACAACATCATGAAACCATTCATATACTGCTTCAAGCTCACACTGAGTCACACATCAAACATGTTTTCCACGAGTATATACCTCCATACGACGCCCAGTCTCATCCTTCCCAACAAATGAGAGCCCAGCATTCTCGATTTCTGATATCATATCTGGATTTACCTGCCAAAAAGTTCATATATTTCACTTTCAACTCACGAGAGAGATCAAGCAAAATAGATGAAGCTGCATTTGCGGTATTAAATATTACCTCATATCTGTGCCGGTGTCGCTCATCAACAGACTTTACATTACCGTACCTAAATATAGAGATAAGAAGTTAAATAGGCTTCGAAAATGAATCCTAAAAGTTATCAACTGATACTGTACTTGAACGAGTTATGTGCTTACAACTTAGCAGACTTGCAATCAGCAACCTGAAAGTAAGTCCTCCTTGACCCTAAGCGCATTGTGCCTCCCATGTGAGTTGTGGATCCCTAAAAAAGAGAGTGAAAGTTTAAGAAGACACTCGAGACACTGAAATGGAAAGGATGTACTAAGTTAAATGCGAGGAGTATATGGTCTAGTACTTCTGGCATAAATATGACGCAAGGGCTTGAAGTTTCTGGTTCAAACTCTGTGCTGTTTGCATCTTCACAACCAAGAACGGAGCGGGCAAATTCAACAACAGCCAGCTGCATTCCCAGGCATATGCCAAGGAAAGGGACTTGGTTTTCACGGGCGTACTTTGTGGCAAGTATCTTTCCTTGCACTCCTCTATCACCAAAACCTCCGGGTACTAGAATACCATCAGCACCCTGCAACAAGAACAAAGTTTAAGTCTTTAACGTATATACTAATTTTGTGTGCCAGGCTCCATTATAAATGACCTACCTTCAAAAGATCCCATGCAGCATTATGGACATCTGGAGCCTGCAATGAAAAGTCGTACAAAGGCTCATGAGATTAAATACATTTGTAGTAAGTACACTGAGAGAAACGAAGACAAGACTTACTTCCTGTGCTGTAATCTCTTCAAGATCACTGGCTGCAACCCACTCTACAACAAGCTTCTTGTGACATGCAACAGAAGCATGCAATAGGGCCTGCAAACAGAAATCCCAGTTTTCAGAATCCCCAACACTAGGCCATAAACTAAAGCTTTGGGCTTAAAATTCATAATTGTATTTGGTTTGTTCAAGGAACACAGAGATCGAGTTACCTTCAACACGGAAAGGTAAGAATCAGAAAGGCCAGTGTACTTTCCAACCATAGCTATTCTCACCTGAAAAAGAAGACCATTGAGAATGAATAATAGCATCTATCATATAGAGAAGCTGGCATCAAAAAGTTATTTAGAAAAATTGACTAACAGGATCTTCCAGCGTATCGTAAACTCTAGTCCTTGCAGTCCATTCAGTCACGTCAGCCTCTACAGCTTTGCTGCAGAAGAAGCAAATGTCATTTAGTAAAAAAAGCCATCACAAACAAGCTAAACTGTGCAACATACAGAAATTAAGATAAACACTAAGAGACAATGAAAAACAAAAAGATGGTTTAGAGACAAACCCTAGGAGGTTCAGTTCTTTCAAAATTGCTTCATGAACCTTTTGATCCTATTGAAGAGACGATAATACCAACAGAATAAGAAGAGCAAAAAAATCAGTAAAGCAATAAGCACCATTGATATCGTAAGAAGGAATAGAAACTATTCAAGCGATAATTACTTACCCTTAAAAGCAGCGGAACGTGCCAAATATTTGGAACGTCATAGAGCGTTACAATATTCTCTTCCTAGAAAAGCAGATAGAATGTTTACTTGGACAGTGGTCTTTAAATAAGAGCTAACCTATACTCTAAGAAGTTACATTAAAAAGGGAAAAATTCAACAGCAAATACCGGCACATGGCAAAATTGAGATAGTTTTGTCTTGACATTGTCTTCAAGTGCCTGTTAGAAAACAAGAACTGATAAGATTAAAATCCAAAACTTAAAGGCTTATCGTTAACGCAACACTACCGCACATGAAAATATTGGAGGAGGCAGTTACCTTCGTGCTGCGACATGCTAGGATATTTGGTGTCAAACCAAGGCTCCTGAGTCCTTTCACACTGTGCTGGGTTGGCTTCGTTTTCTGCAATACAGATGTTGATAGCTCAACTGTTAAAAAAATTAATATAAAGTAACCTCCATGGAAGATATCAAAACCACAGGAAATTACCTGTTCACCAACAACACTGAGAACAGGCACAAGGCTCACATGCACCAGGCAGAAATTACCAGGTCCTAAGAACAAAAGACAGAAGATAATGGAGCCGTTAACCAATGGCCTAAGAACATGAAAAAAGAACCTTCAAAAAGTTCATTATAAATTTAGAGCACAACTCACCAACATTATACGAGAATTGACCAAGGGCCTCAATGAAAGGCATAGATTCAATATCACCTGCACAGAACATAAATAAATCAAAGCCACTCGTCTGAGAAATTGTCAAGAATGACGGCAACATAAGCCAAGAAAGAGTACCTATAGTCCCGCCTAATTCGATGACACAGACATCAGCAGGACCTTCCTTTCCATCGACAGGAACATGAGCTACACGCTCAATCCAAGCTTGGATGGCATCAGTAATATGCGGAACCACCTTCAAAAAAAGTTAAAAGCTTTTGATCAAACACTCATTCAAATTAGAACCAGATGAAGTTAAGAGCACAAGCAGATAAAATGTACTAACCTGTACAGTTTTTCCGAGGTAATCCCCCTTCCTTTCCTTGTCAATGACTGACTGCAAAAATCAAGGCACAAACTTGTAACCAAAGTTCTAAGAGTTCTAAGTTAAAACTAACCTTGGTTCTAAGGTAGTAGAGCATACCTGGTAGATCTTTCCGGTTGTTATATTGTTGTCACGGGTCAATGTAATGTCTAAGAACCGCTCATAGTTTCCAAGGTCCAAGTCCGCCTAAAATGTTCACCGGTTAGATACACAATGCATCAGTTTCAGGAGGAAATCAATACAGACAGGACAAGATTACAAATTTACAATATTGCATGCATACCTCTCCACCATCATCCAGTACAAATACTTCTCCATGCTCAAACGGAGACATTGTTCCAGCATCAGTGTTAAGATAAGGATCTGCGTAAAGCAAGTAAATTATCATAAACCTAGGAACCGATCTCTGTGTTCCTTGATCAAAGAACCACTCAAGAAAGTTTCATCCTTTCTACGAAATCACTCAAATTGGCAGCGAAATACAAGTTGTTACATAAAAAAAAAAGCTGTATTTCTCTGCCGTTACATGCAAATCCAGAGTCAAAAGCACATGTAAATTAATCTCACCAATTTTAATGGAAGTAACACGAAGACCACAGGCTTGAAGGAGAAGTCCAATGCTACTTGCAGTGACTCCTTTACCAAGTCCACTCACCACTCCTCCTGTCACCAATACGTACTTCATTTTTCGTTTCGTCTCTCTGCTTTCTTCTTCACCTAAATCGTCAAGAACAGAACACGGATAAGCATAAAATCCTTCTAATCTCTTCCTAACAGAGAGCAAACTGTTGGGTATGAGTCGAAAACAAGAGAGTGGGAAGAAGAAATTCCGAATTCTATACCTTTCCGTCCAACAAAATGGCCTTTCTGGAGATTTTTTCAAGGCGGCGGCTTTACTAGCTATAACCTGCGAGACCTTCCCTCTTATTTAAACTAGAAAATTAATTATTATTTTTTCCGGAAATATCCTAATTTGTTTTTAATAAAAAATGATTCAAATAATAATAAATATATATTTGAAAATTATACATCAACGTTGGCTTTCAGAGGTGGTAGATTTTATTCCATAGCCTGGTGTCAAATTATTCATCCCTTTTATTCATCTGATTACACTTTTGTAGGTTTCAGATTCAATTTAGGGTTTCTGGTTATGTGACACACTCGAGATAGGCCCAAAAGAGTGCTTTGGAAAGACATCATATATCATCGGAAACTGTGTGACCAATTTCAAAACCAATAAAAAATACATAGAAAAATGTATCATCGGAAAGGTATCAAACTTTAGAGTCCTTCAATTGCTAATTTGCTACTTTCATCTTTTGTCGTTTTGTCATTAATAGAGCCTTTCACATGTTTACTCAAAGAAAAAAACAAATTCTGGGAGCAGTCAAATCAAATCCATGTATTCTTTCTTCTTTCCCTTTGCTTGTGTTTCATGTCCTCATCTTTCTTTAACTTACAAGAACAAAATTCTGGACCCACTTCTGATTTTAGCAATTAGCACCGACATGTTTCTTGCTGAAGAAGCATGTTTACAAGAACTTGCGTGTCTCTCTCACACTGTTGCATATAGTGGACGGTTCAGAACATCAGAAACATCTCTTTTATATTGTCTATTTGTTTATCTTGCTGTGAAATTTGGTTGGAGTTTACTAATAATTGAACAAATCAACGGAAGGATAAATCATAAATGCTAAATCCATTTGATGACAAAAGAAGAGGCTCAACGGCAAGAGCAATAGAAAGATGGAAACTTTTTTTACTCGGCAAAGAAGACTCGCTCAATCTTTTCTTTTAGTTTTTACATTTTTTAGGATGATAAAAGAGAATTGAGGGAGAAGAATTATTTTAAGACTAAACATAACAACTAAAATGAGATTACAACACAAGATCATCTTATCATACACGAAGCTGGCACGTGAGAACTCATTGAGCAGTGTCGGCTCCTCCACTAGCATCGGCTTCTGAGGTGGTCTTAGCCATCACCTCACCTGGAGGAGGATGGTCAAACTTGCATGTTGCCCCGTACTTGCAAGTCCCTGTCTTCATGTAATAAGGGCAATTAAGCGCACCCTGCAACAGTCTCTATGGGATTAGCACACAAACTCGACACAAGCAGGATTCTAATGTAATCACCACCACTTTGTATGTACCTACCTCTCTTCTAGGATAGCCTGCAAGACTCAGCTTAACATTCGGTTGTTGGGAAGCTGGTTTGATCGTTGCACTTAACCTATCTGCAGGGTGATGGAATCTGCATCTCTCCCCAAACTTGCACTCTCCTGTCTTCATGTAGAACTATATAATATCGGACAATAACCCTTTTAGCAAAAAAGTCAAACTAACATACAGTAGCAAAACACCTCAACAATCCCAAGAAAAAAAAAGCAAGAATACTCACGTCACATTCTGGTTGTCCAGGTCTTTGGGGATAAACTGCTGCAAGTGCTCCAAGCTGCAACAAGTTCCAATTGAGTTATTAAACCCTCTAGCAACTGAGGAGGAGCTTATGGATATTAGCCAACAACATGAATCAAGGAACTTACCGAGGGTTGAGCAAGAGTCTGATAGAGCGAGGCAGCTGAGTAATCCATCCCAAGGTTTAAACTCGTAGCCGTCGAGGATAGTAGAGGGTAATTTATCCCAGCAGCTTGAGGGATAAATGCTGTGTACCCAAAGTCAAGACAGCAAAGAGGCACAGAGATATCGTTAAGATTCTATCAAGTGAAAGTGGTACGATACAGATTCTAAAAACCGAAAATATTGACATGGGACATGCTCACACACCAGTCCTCTCAGGGTGATTGTAGCGACAAGTGGCGCCATACTTGCAGCTGAACGTGGTAAGGGAAAACAAATTTGAACGTTAATGTCACTTTTTTTTCTTTATTTAGTAACCAAAGAAATTCATATTTGCTATTCACCTTCCGGTTTTGAGATAGAATGGGCAATCCCCTTCACCCTGTAAAAGCTACAGTCTAATTAGTGACATAATAGATCAGCACACAATGCTAACAAACAATCTTCATCAGTTATAAGCAAAAGTAACTACATAGTTCACTAGTTGTGCCTATAAAATAATATGTCATTCTTATGGAAGCCTGAAGATGAACCCATTACCGGTCTAACAGGTAGTCCTTTCGAGTTGTGATACGGGGCTGGGGCAAATGTCACGTGCGGATTGTTGGCGGCCTCAAGATCACTGGTGAACGCCTCACTGCTACCATTATCTTGGCTTGATGATGGTAGCAAGATATCCTTTGGGTGGTGGAACTTGCATGCTAAACCAAACTTACATTTTCCAGTCTTCATGTAGAACTGTCGCAAAGCATAAACATTGCTAAATCATCTGAAAGAGAAATTACACATAACTGATAGGTCTTTCTATGTGTCAACATGTGTATATCTTACAGTGCATGGGGGCTCAGAAGGCCTCTCAGGTAATCCATCTGGATTTTCTGCACTAATCTGAAAAATCAAAGAGCATCAAGCTTTTTATGTGTATGCACAGCCCAAGGCCAAAACTAAAGCAGGGCACATATTACAAACACATACACAAACTGAGGGATAATATAATTCAGAAATAAAAAGAATCACTTACTGCAGACACTGCTTTAGGATGATTAAACTTGCACTTTGAACCGTATTTGCATCGTTGTGTTTTTATATAGTACTGCCCACCCACCAGTGAAAAACAGATAGTCAGATACTAAAAAGAAAACAGAATCAAAATAGCACAAAAAGATATTCAGATCCTCAAAAACAGCTTACAGGACAATCCGGTTCTCCTGGTCTCTCAGGGTACTCTTCGGTTGGAACAACAAGCGGTGCCTGAACGAAAATATATTCATAAGCAAAAACGACCTTGACCATCTAATCCTGGAATGCATAGACAATGAGTGTAATGTCTCTTCCAAGTCAAGGAACGATCTGACTACGGAAAATGCAAGAATAACAACAAACACAGTCGCAAAAAAGGAAACTGAAATCTAGAACCGCTATCAAAATACTAATGTCTGGCCTAAACTTTCTTGATATGACAATGTAGTACGTTATATGACTTCACACACCAAGCAAAAACAATACTTTAGGCACAAGCTCTCGAGGTACAAACCATATAAGTATATAGCATAAATCTAGGAAAAAAACGTAATCATTATAATGTAAAGTTGATAATAAGGGCATAAGAAAATAGTTAGATAGTAGTAGTAAACGATCACCTCTTTCCAATCTGGGATTCCGCCCTCAGGAACCCAAATAGGATGATCAAACTTGCAGCTCTCTCCAAATTTACAAGTTCTTGTTTGCATATAGTGTGTACAATCCTTCTCCCCTGCCCTCTGAGGGTATACAGGCAAATGGCTCGTACTCTCCAACTTAAGGCGCTTGGTATAATAGTCGGCACTATACCAAGCTGCTTCCGTTTGACCAATTGTATTATGGGCTCCCAAGAGAGTCGGATAGTAGAGCGCTAGTTTACATAATAAACAATAATATACAAACAAAAATGAGACGATAGTATATATATAGATATATGCTCTATACTTATATCTTGAAAATAAGACTGTAGCAGAAACCGAATATAGCCTCAATAGTATTATTTACTTAGACTTATGGTAAGAAATTATGTCTTACATACACTCCTTTTGAAAAGTCTACTGGAAACCATGGAGTTACAGGAAAAAAAAAAAGTAACGGTCTTTGTGAACTTTAAAGCAACAAAGACTAATCAAGAACATAACGATAATCAGTATAGTTTATAGATGTGATTTGAGATATATGCCTGAGCATCTTCTTAGAGATGATACTAACTTCTAAGCTTATTAGCTTAGGAGTGTCTAATTACAAAACAAAGCGGTTGGCCAAACAATTCGACCTCTAATTCAACTAAGGAAAGCACATGGGAACACAAACAAACCAACATCGTTGTGCAAATGTAAATAAAGAACTATCCTAGAGACAGTGTCAGTGACTAAAGATGTATGCTTTTATGCAGCAATTGAATAAACCATCAAGTACACTAATTTCCGCAACTGACTAGGAGAATCACGATGAGCAGAGATAACTGAAAGCTGAAGGCTTTGAAAGGTTTCGAATTGTAGTTTCCAAGCAATAAATAAGAAAATGATGCAGATCTCAGAATAGTAAGGAGAAGTTAAAAAAGGGCAAACCTTCAGAGGTGCGTTTGACACCAGGAGGAAGAGGCTCGACGGCGGAAGCAGCAACGGGAACCTCCACGCCAGGCGGCCAAGCTTCCTGATGCTGCTGCTGCAGCAGCTGCGGATACGACAAATGCGCGGCCGTCGTGTTGGGAAGATGGTGGTACATAGCGGAAGAGGACGCTAAGGAAGAGGAATAGCTGCTCAGAGCGTCGGATCCGTCGCGAGTCGATAACCGGAGAGTGGTATCGGGGAAGTAGTGGTCAGCTGAGGAACCGTAAAGAGAAGAAAGAGCGAATTTTGGCTGTGATTGTGGATGCGGTTGCGGTTGCGGTTGCGGCGGAGGTGCGGGAGAAACGGCAGAGGCGGCAGCGTAGGATGGTTGGAGGGCGTAGCTGAACAATTGATGATGACGATGTGCCATTCGATTTGAAGAAAGAAAAAAAAGGAACCCTAAAAGGAGAGGTCTTTGTACTTTTTGGGAGTCAAATTATCGCTTGTGTCGTGTGGGGTTTACTTTATTGCTCTAAGCAACAAAACAGAACACAGATGAGATCCATTAAACTGATTTTGACATTTCTACTAATCTCTCTCTAATTTGCAATTTGCACATTATTAAATTAAAAAATCTCTTCTTTATCCAAATCGTAATCACGCATATCACTCTTATATAGATTATGAAGTTGTGAGCTCTGTGGTTTGTTTGTTTACATGAGTGAATAAACACCGAAGCTAACTAAGAAACCGAACAAAGCTCCTGCAATGACTTCGACTTCAGTATGTCCTATTGATTCTTTCAGTGGAGGATACACTTCCTCACTGATGATCTTGTCTGATTGCAAAGGCTTAAGTGGTTTCACTTGGTTTCCCTTTAATAAACTCATCTCTTCAACTCTCTCAGGATACTTAGCTGTTAGTCTGTTCAACAATTTCGCATGTTTTCCAACTTCTCTTCTCACCCCCTGAAATAGTACAAGATCAAAGTGATAACTCAGAAATAATGCAAAATAGTTTTCACTACATAAGATCAAAGTGATACTAGAGGTATTCTGAGACTTCAATTCAAAAACCAGCCTAAGCTTTTTTCTCTACAGATATGCCCTCTAGATCCTACTCGTTACCATGTAAAACAGAGAAAGAAAGTTCAAATTTTGGCAAGAAGGGCTAAATTACCTGGGCATCATACATGATAAGGGCAGCATAAACCACAGTCAGACCAAAAATGGAGTCAGCAAAACCCCTGAAGCCAAAACCATATTCAGGAAATTGCATAAGGTGGATAAATCTAGGGGAATTCAGAAGAGAAAGGTTTAGGCTGAGCACCTTTCAAAAGCAATTGCAGTTGCTGCAGCCACCACAGACTAATTTCTCATGAATCAGCCAAAATGTCAGAGAAGTAGACAAAAACAGATTTAACAGAAGAAAAGAGAAATAAAGAGAAGCTTACAGATGAATGCGTTGAAGGGAAACCACCAGCTTGAAAAGCAGCTCTAAAGTCCAGTTTTTTCCCATAAAAAACAACAGAAGTGAAAGGCTTTGAGAGCTGCCCAATCGCCCCGGAAACCCCAGCAGCTATGAGTACCTTCACGCAAGTGTGAAATCAAAAACCTCAGTGACGAGCGATGGCCGCTAGAAGAGGGAAAGAAGAGAAAAAAGCCGAAACCTTGTTGTGGATGACTTCGCCGATATCTTGTAATCCAACATTGAGAACGCCGGAGGTGAGACGAGTTGGCTTCTTTGAGGAGCTTGGAAGATTGAATTTGGGGTTGGAGATAGAGAAATAGAGAGCATTGGCGTTATGAGACACAAAACACTGTTTCAACATCTCTGTGCAAAGGAAGGAACTTGAAGGGGTTTATTTGGGTAGTAGATGATAAGAAAGGGGGCAGAGAGAAATTTGGAATTGGAACAAATGGCTCTGTTGTGTCGACAAGAGTGTTGTCTCTACGGACATTTTATAAGACTCGGAAGAATCATTGGCACAGGATTTTGTGGATCTCAATTACCATACATAAAACTGCTTTCACCTTTTTAACTGAAACTTTTCAGCTGATGATTTCACATAACTGGAATTTACTTAAAACAAATTCAATCAACGATTTATAAAAGTAATTACATTAATATCAAATCTGATTATATTCAAAACACTAGTGATTTGGTTAAGTAAAATTTGCTAAAAAGATTTTTTTGTGAAACTTTCGGATACTTTTTACTTTTAAATAAAAAAAAATGAAAAAAAAAACTCACACTTTAAACATGAAATTTATATGATTCTTGAATTAGTTGTATGGTTCATATGTTCCTCTCAGTTTCTGTTTAAGGTCCCCCTTCTTTGTCCATTCCAAGCTTCGAATTCCAGCTTCAGTCATAAAAATCAACTCATTTTGAGGTAAAAACAAAACAATAGTCAAGTCATATGTTCCTCTGTATAGATCACAATCTGTATCCGTCAAAATTAAGAATATGAACAAACAAAAAATAAACACATAGGAAGTTTCAGGTCAGAGTAACAATGGTCTAAAAGTACTCAAAATCTACATAAGCCGTATCATCGGTTGGACCAGCAGCACAAGCGACCTGAGCCTCAGGCTTAATCGAGTTACAATGATCAGCAACTCCTCCATGACCTTTGGACTTCCCTCTGGACGAAGCAAACGGTCCCAAGTCAACAGGATCAGGAATGTGAGGAGGCGAAGCGCTACGCACCAGAGCCCAATTCACACCTTCAAAGAAAGAGTGTTGCTTTATCTCTGTAGCTCCACGCGTGTAAGCGATCCTCCTATGAGGATCCTTCACTAGTAGGCCACGGATGAGATCACGCGCCGCTGAGCTCACATGCGGGCTATCAGGAAACTTCAGAGGCTGACCAACCACGTTGTGAAGCGTGGCTCTGTTGCCCTGACCTTTAAACGGTGTTGTCCCATGGAGAAGCTCGTAGAGGAAGATCCCGAACGTCCACCAGTCCACAGCGCTTCCATGTCCTTCTCCACGTATGATCTCTGGAGCCAAGTACTCGTGCGTGCCTACAAAGGACATCGACCTCACATCTGTTGGCTCTGCCATGAGCTCTGGCATGGAGAGGCCGCCGAGTCCAGAGTCGGATTTGGCTTTTCTTGTTTTCTTGGAAGGGAGGAGACGTGGGAGGAAGGCTGAGGGATGCATGCAGCCGTTGACTGCGAACTCCTCGTTGAGGATAGCGCCTCCTCCGCTGCAGACAGAGGAGGACTTGACGAGCGTTGGATTAAAGGAGCAACGGAGAGAAAGGTCAAAGTCAGAAAGCATTATGTGGCCTTCGTCTCGAACAAGGATGTTCTCTGGCTTCAAGTCTCTGTACACAATCCCAAGCATGTGTAGATACTCCAAAGCTAACAACACCTCGGACGCATAGAACCTGTCAAGAAAAACTCATCAGAGAAAGATTTAATAAGCAAGTAAGCTCCAAACTCCAAATGGATTTGAATGTTTTTTTGTCTCACCTTGCAGCCTCTTCTGTGAAACGTCTGTGAGGTTGCTTTTGTCTGAGAGAATGTAGATTCCCGCCGCTGCAGAACTCCATGACCAAACAGTAGAATTTCTCAGTCTCGAAGTAGGAGTAAAGCGTCGGCAAGAAGGGATGATCAAGGAGAGATAAGATCTCTCTTTCGGTCTGAGCTCTCAGCAACTTGTTTCTGCTGGCTAAAGACGCCTTGTCCATGACCTTCATGGCGAAAACCGCACTTGTCCCTCGCAGGTCCGCGAGATAGACGCTGCCTATGTCTCCGTACCCTAGACGTTTCAGAAGCCTGAAGTTGTCAAGACCTATTTGAGGGCCTCTTGAAGCAATAGAGTTAATGGCGTCCCATCTCACGTCTCCTCCCGTGTGAGGCTTGAAAGGCGTAGCTGATGGAGCATCACCGTAGGTAGTATATTCGGAGTTATGTCTAGGAGCTCTCTTGTTGTCTGGGGACTTTGTCCTGTTGTGGGGATGAGTTCTGGTGTTTGGTGATTGTAGCTCAGGTGTGGTTAGAGGAACAATCTTCTTGGGATCATACTGAAGGTTTTTAGGAGCGTTCCTTCTCATTGCTAAGCTATCGCCATCGCTAGAAGAATAGGTGTTGTTGTCGTTGGTTCCTCTAGCTGCGGAGGGAGGAGGTTCGGGAGATTTTGGCGGTTGATTTCTGACGAGAGGATCCATCTTCTTGGGGTCGAAATGAGGGTTTCTTGGAACGTTGTCTCCAAGTTTAAGCGAGAATGAAGGGCCTTGTATGGTGTTAGGGAGAGGAGACTTTGGTTTTACGATTGGGTCTGTCTCCTTGGAGGTGGTGGTTTTCTTGGAAGCCAAGTCCATTTTCGGTATATCTCCAGGTTCTTCGGTTATAAAATTAGCTCACCTGCAACATCCATGACATCACCATGATAAAATGCTTGTTCAAAGACACACAGAAATGCGTAGGAAACATTGAAATCTCCTTTACCTGAGATGATGATAACGCTTCTTTGATGATTTAGAAGACAGTTTGAGAGAGATCAAACCATGTCAAGCTGAAGAAACTGCAACCAGAAAAAACATACAAAGAAAGAGAGAGGTTGTAATGCGTCAGAGAAACGGAATATAATAAAGAACGGTGACAATGTCTGCGAAAATTCAAGAATGCAGACCATTTTTAAATGGCCATGACATAAGTGTAGTTTCCCAGAATACGAATCTCAAACTCTAAAGAATCAAGTTAATATGTTTCCAAGATTCAAATCCAAGAAAAAAAAATGAAGAATGAGACTTTAATTGGCTTGTCTTTGTAAACGTGTTTAATCTCCTTAATAAGTATCTCAACCTAGAAAAGCAGAGAGAGAAATGTTTGAAAAAAAGAGACATGAGGAGATGCAAAAGAGATGGAGGGAGGGAAAGGTTCTTAGCCTCTCGTCCCTCAACGCATACATTGCCGCTTATTCCTCTTTCCCCATTTTTTTTTGTTTTCTAAATTAACCATTTTCCTTTTTTTACCTAAATTGGTTCATTGACAGAGACATTGTTAACAAGAGAGATAGAAAATTTTCCAATTAGAAGCTCACCTGGTCATCGACAGTCTCCTCTCTCTGACTAAAGGAGAAAGTGATAGTCTTCTTCTCGACGGCGGCGTCCAAGTAGTGGTTCGATTTCGAACCGTTGCAACGTTTATCGGAAAAGGAAGTTGGTTTATCCATGAGTCTCGATAAGAAGTCAAAGGAGTTGCGAAGTAATTGGCCTTCTCCTCCGATTCCATTGGCGAACGAACAACAGCAATTCCCAGAAACACGGGAGAGAGGAAGAGAAGACGACCGGAGAATTTAGAATTAGAACAATTGCGCTTTTTAACGATTCGTGGGCTATTTATCAAAGCCCATTATGACTTCATTCATTATAAGCCCGTTACAAACTTTAGGCCATTCCAATATCATTGACATATATAATATATAATATAAGTTCCAAAATATAAGATGTTTGAGGTTTTTCACAAAAAAATAAAAAACATGTAATGTGTAAATTACTTTTTCACACCAACCACTTTTTAATATCTTTTAACCATTCACAATTTAACTATTCAAATACTTTTAGTTAATATGTCTTGAAGTTTGTAATATGTTAGTATTAATTATCAAAAAGTACCTTAAAAATTCCAAAACATCTTACATTGTGGAACAAGGTAAAATCCTAAAACATCTTATATTCTGGAACGGAGGGAGTACTAGATTAGATTAGCCCCGCGTATACGCGGGTTTATTTATTTTTATTTTTTTAAATCACGGAAGAATATTAAACAAAATTTGATCAATTTTAAAAATAAGAAAATAATATTAAAAACCCGATAACAAATCTCTAAATAAAGATATGTAGTCTTTTACATTTTTATTTTGAATTCATGATATGAAATAGAAAGATTTACATGTGTCTAAATCTAATCGACTCATTATTTTATGAAACTTTGATTATTCCATGATGAAATCTTTATTTTTAATATTTTTTTACCTAACAAAACATGGAAAATTAAACTATTTAATATTAGAAGATCAGTCCATTATAAAATTTTCTTTTTTAATATTATTTAGTTCCTTAATAATTATTTTGTTAGTTTTCTATTTATATTGTTTCTTTTTCAATTTCGTTTTTGCCTCTGACCATTATAAATTTTCATTTTCATTATTAGTTAGTTGTTTTAATATTATTTTGTTAGTTTATTTATTTATGTTACTACATTTTTCCAATTTTCTTGTGTTGACACATGTCATCACTTCATCAAATATTAGACACATGTATCGATCTAAAGTTAAGTATTCTTCATTGATATCTTTAACTTTTAAAGACATGAATTTTATTTCTTAATGAGAAAGAAACTTAAAAAATATAGCTTGTTATATATATTTTTTTTTTCATTTTCGTAATGGGAATATGTTTTTTATTCCTTTTCTTATTGGATGTAACATTTTTTAATTATTTCTTCATGTTTTTCTGATTTTCGTTTTTTTTCCTTTTCGTAATAGAATTATGTTTTTTCTTTACTTCTCATAATGGATGTAATATTTTTTCTTTTTAATTGTTTGTTTCCTGTTTTCTGATTTTTCCTAATGTACTAATAGGATTTTATTCAAATAATTTTAATTTCGATCCAATTGACCTAGAGTCAAATAATCTCCATGTTCTCTTGAACTTTCAAAGACATGATTTTGAAATTAGAGAAAGAGAATCAAAGAGATTTTCTGAATTTGCTTTGATGAGTTTGTGAATGAGAAAAAGAGACTACAATAGCTCTCTTTTTATAGGGGTTCATGTAACCAATTTCATACAGTTTTAGGATATTTAGTTTACATACCTATTACATGTACTAATAGGATTTTTTTAAATAGGAGTTTATATAACTTATTCCATATAATTTTAGGATATTTAGTTTACATACCTATTCCATATACTAATAGGAATTTTTTATTACATTATTTTTATTTTATTATATAAAATTTCGTTTTTATTATAAGATATTAAAATTTTCTCTTTAAAATAAAAATTTCCTTTTTCCGAAGACATGTGTCACGATCTTAACGGATATAACATTAAAAGTGACACATCACAATCCTATATTTTATAAAAATCCTACATTAAAAGTGACACATGTCACAATCCTATATTTTATAAAAATTCTATGTGTCGCAATCACGTTGCGCGCATTCTGCTTTATATAATAAGATTTCAAGCTATGTGATGAATATGCAAGTATTTACCTACAGCCATTTGTTATTTTCTGATAATTTTTTTGTTGTAAACTAAAAATCTTGTAGATAAATTAATATTATCAATCTACAATGAAGATGTTACCTCTTACGATAGTACTTGAATAGGCAAAATTACACTATCATTAAAACAAGTAACTTGAAAACAGAGTGAACAAGAAAAAAAGGAACTGATGGATGATACATAGTGGACCGTTTTCCAAATGAGATGATGATAAGAAGAAAGAAGGGAAATATGAGTTGTGTTTTGGTGAATATGTCAAAGAGATAAATACAAAGGAGAATCAATTATAAGATAGATGTTCCGGAAATTAAGCAAATGGCGGGGCATGGATGATGTCATGATTTCTCTTGTACATATCTCCCCCTTTCCTTGTACGATACGTATGAGTATACCCTCTTGATTAACAACGGTATTGAGTATAGAATATGGTCATTCTTCTTCCGACGTGTGTCCACAGCCCACACACACACAAATCTAAAATGCGTCCCTCTAAAAACGACTCAAATATTAATTAGTCTAGCAAAATATTAATTATGAGACGTTTCAATGTTTCATTATCGGCAAAGTCTAAAAAAGTCAAGATGGAGTTCAATACATACCCCGATTGGCCCATTGGCAACATCACTTGGTGTGAGTTGTTTGACATAAGTTTGGGACCAAACGATTACGAGGTGTTTGGTAATAATAATAAGGACTGTTTGACTTTTAATTGAGTTTGTTTTCTTTGTTTTAAAATACTAATGGTTTACATTTTTCATTTATATTTTCGTGTTCTTTTCAACCGCGCTCACTTACCTACATATTTTTATTCCACGTGAAAACAACAGAGAAAAAAAGGCAGAATCGAACCTCTACGCTCGAACGAGAAGGAAAAGTGAAGAAATCCAATTTGACTATTTAGTATCTACTCACCACCTGTTCATTTTTCACGTTTAACATATTAAATGTCCGAAACTAATGGTTAGTAATGACTACCGAACTAAAGAAAATATTGTCATGTGGCTACTTGCTTGCAATTATTAAGGTAACTTGTTTTTTTTGTATACTTGCGGAAGAGAATCAAAACCGGCCTTTGCTTTTATCCTATACAATCTTCTGATCAATGCATTTGGCCTTCTCATAAAAACGTCTAGAAGAAGAGACAGTTTAAATCTACTTCCATTTGTTACAGTGGCAGAGGTAGAAATAATTTTTATAGAGGTCATAATACAAAACTTGGCTAGATCATGGGGTGCATTTGGAGGTTGAACATAAATTTATGGGGGTCATACACTAATTTTAACCACATATTTTATCAAATTCAATCAAAATTACACTAAAAAAATAATATAATTTAAATTTAGTAGGGGTCATATGACCACCTTAAGCTTCATGTGCCTGCTTTGATATTCCATTTTTGTTGTGGATGCTCTACATGTCGTCTGTGCTTGGTTAGATTAACCGAAACCGTAATGCTTGAATCAGATGATTTGACCATCACTAAGAAACCGCGTTCTTGCTAGTGCTACCTACAATTCAGTTTATTTATATCACCGGAAAAGACCCGTGATTTCTAAACCTTTTTCTTTTGTCTTGTTGAAAAAACTCAATACAATATTTCAACCAGTATAACCTCCTTTATTAATCAAGCCTGTCGAATATATTGAATTACTGATAATGACAAATGAAAAAGGGAAATAGTTAAACGCCGCCTCACAGTAGTCTAGGCTACAAAACCTATCGAACATTGCTGTTTCAATTTTTCTTGTTTTGTCGACATCCATTAGTGTTTAATTTGAAGATTGGTAATAAAATATGGGGTGGTGTTGAAAACAAGATGGTAAACAAATAGAGGTTGGGTGGGCCATGCTACTTACTATACTTTGTTTTCTTCTTCTTTTTTGTCTTATGAATTAGGATAATGCAAGTAGAGTGTAAGGCCGTGCATGAAGTCCTTAGGGTTGTTATAATTTTCTTGTTTGTCGTCACGTAAAGATTGTTATAATCGTATAATTATTGGGTGCAAAGTGCAAACTGGCAGTTTGAAATGATCTCCCTTCCTTCACTGTCTTTGTCGTTCGTTACATATTTTCCGAGCAGTTAGGATTTTCTTCTATCTATAGAGACTATAGTGTTATTACTTTATAACCTCAATTAAGAAACTCGGTGATAAATGGATATTGAATCACATAACGTAATAGTCTAATAGATTTCACTGTACGTCTAATACACACATGCACACAGTTAATCGGTTACACGAAGCGATGGGATTTATAATTATCATATAGTTTTATGAAACAACAAATTTTAACCGAAAAGATAAAGAGCTAAAATGGACAAGAGTACTCAAGAGACAGTGTGGCTTGCATTGGAGTTCAACGCATCACAGTGTGCACGCATCTCTCTCAATTCGGATAATCCTTTCTTATGTTTTTTTTTGTCTCTCTATCATCTTCTAATGCAGTTTAAAAAAAAAAAAAAAAAATGAACCGAGGATTATTAAATCTAAGAAAGTCCAGAAGGATCCAAGGATGCAACAGACAGCCAATGATAATACAACAGCTGTATTTCTTCCTCTCACCTTCGTGATTTGGACACTCTTTGCTCCTCTTCTCTTCACGTACCTATCCATCCATACAAAAATATGAAATATTTCATATACCTACGCCCAATCATAGCAAATGATCCATTTTTCTTTAATTTTGTTCTTAGTGTTACCCTTACGTCACCTTTAGATTGTTACCTCCAACAAAAGCTAATTTGACCAGTAGTAATAGCCTCTAATGTGCTTAATTTTTTTTTTGACCAGTAGTAGTAACCTTTAATCGAGAAGGAAAATCTAAGAATTACCATTGTATAAATATAATTTAAACTTTAATTCTTTAAATAGTAACTTGCACAGAGGATTCGTCAAACATTTGTCCATAAAATAAGTGAGTAACTCTAGACAAATTAGCGTTTTACTCTCACTATACATCTGTCATTGTTGACCAGCTACATTCTCAATGTTTTATTTTCGTTATTTTCCGTTGAATTGGAGACATTAAAAGATCAAAGAAAAAAAAAAGGAAACCGAGTAGTGAGTTTAGCCTAGATTTTCTCTTACAATTATGTACTGAATATCTGTATTCTAGCGTTGATATATCAAAATTTAAGGTGGTAATATTATTCCGTTTAGGGCCTTGAAATTATTAAATGTTGAATTGATTTAAAAAAAATATAAATATCAATCATAATGAACTTTCTAAGTACACACAAAATAGCTCTAATTAAATTTTGGTATCTCCTAAATTTTAGGAAAACTTCTTTTATAAAATCCTGAATTGATCAGAAACGGGAAATTTCAGAAACTAATACTTAATCACAATGAATATTTCCGAGGCCTTAATTATGATTAAAAAAAGGAAGAGAGAGAGAGGCTTGTCATCAATGGATATAAATACTCTGTTTTAGAAAACAGAGACCAAAAGGGGCAAAAACAAGAACAGAGGACGAAAAATGATGAGAAATAGAGCGCTCTCATGTCTCCTCACGATGCTCCTAATCGCCACCGCAGACTCAACGCAAAATACGGTGGTTCGCCTCGAAATGGCTCACCGCGACACTCTCTCGCCGACGGCTTTCCGCCGCATTGAGGACATTATCGGCGAGGACAAGAAGCGCCACACCATGATCTCTCAGAAACGGAAAACGAAAGGAGGATTCAAAATGCCGCTGGGATCGGGCGTCGACTACGGCGCGGCGCAGTATTTCACGGAGGTCAGTGTCGGAACGCCGGCGAAGAAGTTCAGGGTGGTTGTGGACACCGGGAGCGAGCTGACTTGGGTGAATTGCAGGTTCCACGGGAAAGGCAAAGAGAAAGTCGAGAATCGGAGTGTGTTCAGAGCAGAGGAATCGTCGAGCTTCAGAAAAGTCGGTTGCTTGACTCAGACCTGTAAAGTCGATTTGATGAATCTCTTCTCACTCTCCTCTTGCCCTACGCCTTCCACACCTTGCTCCTACGATTACAGGTAACTTCCAATTTCAATTCATGATGGCGATTTATCACATTTCTTAATTCAGAATCAGTTTTTCAATACTCCTCCATTTCATATTAGTTGTCAGTTTTTAGAAGTTTTTAGAAATGTATATGCGTTTCATATTAGTTGTCGTTTTTAGAAATGTATATGAAATGTATTTATATTTGGAGATGTATATGAAATGTTTTTGGATGTGTTTTCATATTAGTTGTCGTTTTTAGAAATGTATATGAAATGTATGTATTTAACTCAAAACACATTCAAATACATTTCATATACATTTCTAAAAAGAGAGAGAATAATCTGATTAGGGATTTGTAGAGGCTATAATGGTATGGAATTAATGGAATGGAACATTTTAGTGTTTAAGGAATTGTGTGAGTGTGTTTGAGAGAAAGTTTGGTTGGCAATGAATGAGAGAGAAGAGGGGCCTCTCTCACTATGTCTCTCTTGTCACCATATCAATGTCTCTTTTTTTGCTAACTATTTAGAGGTGCCATAGATTTATATGCAAGTGTATCTAAGAAGAGGCTGAAATTTAATGAGATTTGAGCTACAATTCATCACTATACATAAATGTCACTTATTGTGCCTTGTGTGTTAGGTTTGCCGATTTGGTCATCACTACATAAATTCATACCTCTCTTATTAACCCTAATGACAATTCTTAATCAACACGTTTCTGCATTCTTTACTCAACCTAACAGATACGCGGACGGGTCAACAGCACAAGGCGTGTTCGCAAGGGAGACGTTCACGGTGAATCTAACCAACGGTCGCAAACGGAGACTCCGTAACCTCATCGGTTGTAGCAACTCATTCACTGGTGAGAGCTTCCGTGGAGCAGATGGAGTTCTTGGTTTAGCGTTCAGCGATTACTCCTTCACTTCCAGAGCCGTTGATCTCTTCGGTGGGAGATTCTCTTACTGCCTCGTTGACCATCTCTCCCACAAGAACGTCTCCAACTATCTCATCTTCGGCTCTTCCCCTACCTCGACTAAAACCACAGCCGCAGCAAGAACCGCACCGCTTAATCTCGATCTCATCCCTCCCTTCTACGCCATCGACATCGTTGGGATCTCTCTCGGAGACAAAATGCTTGACATCCCCGCGCAAGTATGGGACGGAACAGCCGGTGGTGGGACGATCTTGGACTCGGGAACCAGCCTCACGTTCTTGGCCGATGCTGCGTACACCATTGTGGTTGAAGCCCTCGAGAGGTCGCTTGTTGGGTTTAAGAGAGTGAAACCGGAAGGAGTACCGATAGAGTATTGTTTTAGTTCGACGTCAGGGTTCGACGAGAGCAAGCTGCCGCAGCTGACGTTCCATTTCAAGGGCGGTGCGCGTTTCGAGCCGCACCGTAGAAGCTATTTAGTAGATACAGCGCCAGGAGTCAAGTGTTTAGGGTTTGTGTCGGCGGGAACGCCGGCGACTAATGTGGTTGGGAACATAATGCAGCAGAATTATTTGTGGCAGTTTGATACTTTGGCCTCAACTTTGTCTTTTGCTCCTTCTACCTGCGTTTAGATATTTATCTTTTGTGTTTTTTATTACTTGATTAAATTGTTATTGGAAATTATATTGTTTTGTTAGTGGATTGAATAAACTTGTTTGTCATAAAAAACTTGCAATACATAACATGGCGCTTGTTGTTAGTAATGTAAATAACAACTACCATCTCTCTGTTCATCATCATCACAGGGCCTATAACTTATTTACGCTGTTAAATGGGCTGTAGAGAAAGCTGATGAAATTATAAAAAAGATTGGGCCCAGAAGCTCTCTGTCTTATGATAAGTTCACACTCTTCTTCTATTTTACGTGTTGAAGAAAGTGGGAATCTAATGCATCGCTGTTTCAATATCATGTGCTCTCTTCTCAAAGCATATTTGATCTTTTTCCTTTCTCTCACTTACGGAACATTAACAAAACTTGTAGAGCACTCTGTTTTATACCAAGAGTTTGCATGCATCCTGAATTGTATGATTAAAGAACACATCTTCCACGAATATTTTGGGACAACCTGCTAACGAAAAATATATAACTCATAAAAAGATAGTGAAGGAGGAGCGTTGTTGTTGGAACTTGGGAAAATAATAAAGGGTATAATTGAAAAATAAGTTAAATTTGGGGGATGGGTGGGAGGAAACACATAACAAGACCAATGACCAATCCCATCATGGCACCCACTATCAAATGATCCAATCATTATTGGTGACAGAGAAGCATCACATGCTGCATCATCATGCTTTTTGCTTCTACGAAAACCAATCACCACTTATACTCTTCTTTCAATACAAAATTCAAAACATTCAAGATTATGAATCGAAGATTTGATAGAGACGACAGTATATGAAAACCAAGAGGGTATTCAATTTTCACATGCACTTTGCAATACAAGATGAGTTAAAAAGTAAAGCTCAACAAAAACCAATTACTATTTCAATTTGTCACACCACACATACATCAAAAACCCTTATACATGTGATTCTTTTTGAAAACCCCTCACACATTAAAAAACAAAAACAAATTAAACCAGCTGGTTTATCTTACATCACCAAATTAGAAACCACACAATCCATTTTTCTCCTACACCTACATTTGTTGTACTTGTACACAAACCACCCGAAAGTTAAAAAAACACACTTTCAATTCCGTACAGAAAAAGGAATTTCCGTTTGATAAAAAATTAGGGATTGGTGGTGAGGAGAGTGCAAGGGAGGTGACGGTAACAAGTGAGCAAGTGGTCATTGGTTAGACCAGCGGCTTGCATGAAAGAATGAACCACAGTGGGACCTACGAACCGGAACCCTCGACGGACCATGTCTTTGCTTATACACTCCGACTTGGATGTCTTGACCGGAATCTTGTGGCCTAGCTTGTAGTTCGTGGAGATGGGCTTGTGGTTCACAAAACCCCAAAGGTATTTCTCTAGTGACCCGAAGTCTTTCTTGATTTCTACGATCTTTTTAGCGTTCTCCACAACGCCTCTCACTTTGCTCATCTCTATCTTGTGTTCAATGCTAATTGCATTCATCTCTTTCTCCGTGAGTTTGGCAACCGCTTCCGCTTCAAACTCCATAAACGCCTTCCTGAAATCATGGCGTTTCCTCAAGGTTGATGTCCAGTCGGATCCTACTTGTGCACCGCTGAGGATCAGCAGTTCAAATAACGTCCTGCAATAATTAAGATGATTAGATAATAATTTGAGCAAAATGGAAATGAATTATGACCAAAATGGAAATCTAAAATATCACACATGGAAGTTCTTGTTCCAAATATACCACTATTTTAGAAAGTTTTTTAAAATATCAACCATTTTAGGTTAAAGAAGTGTTCGTAAAAGTTAAGTAGGAACTAAATTTACTTAATCATTTAGGATTCTTTTCAGCTTTCTTATATTTTAGTAAATCAAAGTGATACGTTTTTAGAATTGCCCAAAAATAATAAAGAAGGGTTATGTCACTCACTTGTCATCATGGACAGGGACTCCCCATTCTTCATCATGGTAGGCAACGTAAACAGGATCTGAGAAAATGACATAAAGAAACAATCAGATGTTGAAGAGAAACTAACAGTCTAACACATATTGCAAATTTGCAATTCAAAAAAATGAAAAACAAGAAATAATAATAAAGAGGAAAGGAGTATTAGTACTATATACCAGAAGTAGGGGTGAGGAAGCTGCATCTCTGAGGATAAGGTTGAGGGTTGATAAGAGGAACCACTTTGGAAGAGCTGTAACTATTTAGGGTTGATTTGGATCTTCCGTAATGAGCAATCTTCAATTTCCTCAGGGCTTGTTGTGCAGCCACTTGCTCCCTCCTCACGGCGGCTATACTCCCAGGAGCTTCCGTTATGAGCCAAGAGGAATAGCTCTCTCCTTCTTTAAAACTCATTGATTTCTTGTGCTCCAAGCTTCCTCTCACTTTGGCTGCACCGCCATTACCCACCACACTGTCCCTTTTTAGAGACTCAGAATGGTCCATAAGGCGGTTGAAACTACTTGACTGCAACATCCCCCTTTTGGTCAAACCCATTGTCTCCGTTCTGCTCATTTTCTCTATATTACTCTTTACTTATAAGGTGATAGATGATAAGAAACTCTAGTAGGAGAGAGAGAAGAGTTGAGATGATGATGCTGATGAAATGGAGAAGGGAGTGATTTGTGTAGAAGGTATATATATTACAAGTGACAATTGTGAGAGATAGAGAAGTTGAAAAAGTGGTTGTAAGTAAGGGTAATAATATGTATACATTCTTTACCAAGTGAACATTATTCTAAAACTAAAACCGTGTGGATATTTGTAATTATCAAGCAACAACAAAAAGAGGGAATATAGAAAAGAGGTAGAGGCAGAGCATGTGCAGGATTGAGGCCAATGATGCCATCAAATCAACTCCCATGTGATCTTTAAGTCTTCCCCTAACTATTTTCTGCTTACTTTTCTTTTCGTACTTCAATATTCCTTTCTGTATTATTTTAGGCTCCTGTCCTTTACTCATATTTTTTTTTGTCACACGCGTTAAATTTATATATAGCATTAGTTAATCTTCATGTACATTTTTCTTAGGTTAACATTGGATCTCTAATCGTCAATGTTTCAAAAGCCAAAGTTAGAGACTACCACTGATTATATCCGGAGATGAGTAAATTCTTTGGCAAAAGTTTTTTAATAATTCAATTGTCCCCATATTTTACCTTTTTATATAATCTATATTTTCATGCATGTACAATGTCTTTCATTTTTGTTGTTTGTTTTGTACTGCAATGCGGGTTACGTTTGAACATTATAACAAGATTGGACAAAAAGAAAACAAAGAAGAGAAAAGGGGATGAATTCCAAAAGTACCAAGACCTAAGTAATTAAGTGTTTACGATGAAGTGAGATGAGATAAGATAAGAGACATACCATGTGGTTCCCCTTATCCTATGTATCCATCCACTATTACCATTATTATAACACAATAGTGTCAATACATATCTTTATCCTCGATCTAAACTGTGCCTTCGTGTCGTCTTTTAAATGCTACTCAATCATTTATATATACAAAGAGATGTTTGCTTCTTTCGTTTTGTACATTCAAAATCAATATTCATAACGTGTCACTTGTGAATCTTTCTTCCGATTAACACAATTGACTTTCTTAGCGCCTGTGAAAATTCTTGTCCAAGTACAAGCCAACTAATCAATTATAGGAATGTGGTTACAGGTGAGAGCATGTGGCGATTTGGCATGTTCCCTTTTTGCCTTCGTTCTTCCCACGAAGTTTCACTTAAACTAGGACTTTCACCCGCGCATGCGCGGATCTGTATCTTAAATCGGTTTAAGATATATTCTTATAGAATAATTTTTTTAAACTGCATAAATCAACAATTAAAATTTATCAATATGTCAATACTAAAAATTCTCTAGAACACAAAAGTTTTTAGATATATCAATATCGTGTTGAGATCAAATCTTGACATACAAAAATATTGTTTAGATCATATCCTGGTAACAAAAATGTTTGTGTATGTCTAATAACCAAAACTTACTTAAATATATTCAAATCATTATAATAGGAAAAATTTATTAGTAATATATATATACTGTAAAATGTAATGTTAACTTATGACCTATTGTGACATGTTAGTCATTTTCTAAACAAAAATATATTTTTAAATATGTATTTTAAAAATATTAAAATTAGATGTCAACAGTATTTGTATGTAACACATGTTTCTTTAGAATAACTTCAATTCGTTATGTTAGAACTTAAAATGCTATAAACAACATATAATTTATTTTTCAGTACATTTAACTTACACATCGTGTTAATAGTTTATAAAATTTGATCATAATAGTATATATTTAGCTTTTATATAATATAAATTATGTATATTCTTTTTTTATTTTATGGTTTAAAGAAAATCTTAAATCATTGTTTGTTCAGTGTTGATGTTTTTTGTTAGTAATTTTGTCACGTTTTTATGCATTATGATATACATTTCTTTTTAAAAGTAGTTTTATATTAACGTTTACTTGAATATTTTTGCCTTAAATCTGTTTATAAATACATTCTTGTTCAGAATTTTTGTTACAGTTACATCTTTGTTTAGAAATTGCAAAATTCAGTTAATGTTTATTTAATTGCAAAAATGGTTACTAACTCAGCTCATATCATGTTTATAATCAAATCGAGTAATCATATTTGGCAAGTTTATACTACACAAAAAATGAAATATTTCCTCTTGAATTTGATGGCAAAAACTTTGTCTTGACCGATAAAACTCAGGCCCACATGGAATTGATACACCTCCTGAAATCATTGTGATCATCAAAAAACAGTCTCCATATCGTCTTCATATGTCTTTCTACTGTATGAGTCTAGGATCAAGTAGTGCTTCTCAATAAACTTATGGTAAATTCACACATTTTTCATGAACTCTTCGAAGATGTAGAAAAACCGATTATTCTACCCTTAATAGGTTTATTGCCTATATTTTGCCATTTTTGGAAGGCTCGTGATTTTCTCTTATTTGAAAATCGTTATTTACATGGAGATGAAATTTTCTTAAATGAGATGAAGGATGCCAGACACCAACCTCTTCTTTCCCTCACCTCCATTATCCTCCCGAATATGAACTCTTATTTTGTTGATGTAGGATGGAATGCTTTCTCGAAAATTTGTAGTATGGCTTATATTATTAAATCTACTTTGAATTCTTCTCTTCCATAGTAATCCAAACAAACTATTTACTTTTTCGACCATTTAGTCCTACGTGGACACTCTTAGATGCATTTATCCTCAAAAATTATATTAAAAACATATTTATTAAAAATATATTAATTTAATTACTTTAGACTTGGGAGTTTCTAATTTAAACAGATTATACTTATAAATTTTCTTGAAACATAAGAAAAAAATTAACTAATTTAAAAAATACAGCTAATTTTCTATGATGATATAGATTAATACTATTGGACATTACGCATTTTTGCTTCTATCTCTATTTTTTTATTTATAAATTATGTAATGTTGAGATCCACTCTTTTGCAATGTTGGGTTTGCTTGCTTAGATTAATTTTTCAGTTATTATGGTGTAACATACTCTTTATTTGTAAAAACTTAAGTTTGGTCAAAGATAATTAACCTTAATGTTTATTTAATTATTAATAACTAATATTTTAGTTATACTAATATTTTTATATTTTTTTTTAAAATTTAATAAATTATGTTTTTTGACAATAATTTTAAAAAACTTAATTTAATTACATTGGACTTTTGAAGTTTCTAATGTAAAGCGGTTCTATTAATAAATTTTCTTGAAACATAAAAGAAGTTAACTAATTTTAAAAATATAGCTAATTTTAGATGACGCTATAGATTAATATTATTGGCTGTTTAAAATTTGAAAAAAATGAGATGATGATATAGATTAATACTATTGGTTGTTTAAAATTGGGGAAAAATTAATTATGTAAATTTTTATGTTGACCAATAAAATGCGGTTTAAAATTTAGTAAATTATGTTTTTTAACAATAATTTTAAAATTTCTTAATTTTATTACATTGGACTTTTGGATTTTCTAATGTAAACAGGTTCTATTAATTAATTTTATTGAAACATAAAAGAAGTTAACTAATTTTTAAAATATAGCTAATTCTAGATGACAATATAAATTAATATTATTGGCTGTTTAAAATTTGAAAAAATGAGATGATGATATAGATTAATACTATTGGTTGTTTAAATTGGGGAAAAATTAATTATAAAAATGTTTATGTGAACCAATAAGATGTGGTTTAAAAAATTTAGTGAATTATGTTTTTTAACAATAATTTTAAAATATCTTAATATAATTACATTGGACTTTTAGAGTTTCTAATGTAAACCGTTTCTATTAATTAATTTTTTTGAAACACAAAAGAAGTTAACTAATTTTAAAAATATAGCTAATTTTATACGACAATATAGTTTAATATTATTGGCTGTTTAAAATTTGAATAAAAATGAAATGATGATATAGATTAATACTATTGGTTGTTTAAAATTGAGAAAAAAAATAATTATGTAAATGTTTATTTGGACCAATAAAATGCGATTTTATAATCTTACGTGGACACTCTTAAATGCATTTAGTCTCAAATTTTATATTAAAAACATATTTATTTAAAAAAATGTTAATTTAATTACTTTAAACTTGGGAGTTTCTAATTTAAACAGATTATACTAATTAATATTCGTGAAACATAAGAAAGAAATTATCTAATTTAACAAATATAGCTAATTTTATATGATGATATAGATTAACTATTGGTTGTTTAAAATTTTGAAAATTTCTTAATTTTATATGATTATGTGGAATGATACTATTGATAGTTTAAAATTTGAAAATTTTCTTAATTTTATATGATTATGTGGAATGATACTATTGGTAGTTTTATAAGCTTCAACTTTTAGATAGTATAGATTTAGCATTTCATTATTTCCGCACAATAACCAATATCATTTGTATAAAAATACGTATAAATGAACCTACTTCTGTAAATCGAATATCGTCCTCGTCTCATTAATCATTGCGAATGCCAGATATTGATTGAGTCTATTGGGCCACACTGTTTATTGGTTTGAATTTGACACCTCTCTTCCCCTTAAGCCATATCAGAGCTTACTCAGCCCATCTTCTCAAGTAGACAAAATTGCTATTAAATGGTCCACTATAGTTAATTACATAAAGCACATAACATAGTTTAGTTCATTGGATTTATCATCTCAACACAAGAAAATGAAAGATTAGTGGGAAAATGACAATCTTTCTCTTTTTTTTTTGTGAAAAAATGACAAACTAATTTTGGTAAAATCTCAGCTTTCAAAAGAAGCAAGTGGAAATTATTCATATAATATATTTACACTTGAGGAATTGAAAACATTGTAGAGTAAAAAACTAAAAGGTCCAGCCAAGATCATCCATGGGATTAAAATCGATGGACATTGCAGAAGAAAAAATGGAAGCAAAATCAGGATCAAAAGTATAGGAAGAAGGAGTGTTAAACAAAATGTCCATGTTGAGATCATCATCATCAACTCCTGCCACTGCCTTGTCTCCTAACAACATCGGAGTTTCTTGGATAACCATTCCCTGATCAAGATCTGACCAGTTAGGAATCATATTATCATCATCTAAAAGATTAGACATGGCATCGCTGGTGGGAATCATGGTTTGAGAGGGGATTGGATTCCGGTTAGGAGATTTAACTCTGTTTGGTTTATTGGAAGTATGAGGATTGATGTTTGTGATTGAGAAAGCAGTGGTTGAATGATCAGGAGTAGGGTTTTTCATGATGGTGGTCGTCTTGCTTGGCTTGGGAATATTATTAGTTCTAGAAGATGAAGATCTTTTGTGTGAAGGCATAAGATTATGTGTAGAAGGATCTAAGCCTTGAGAAAGAAGCTTCTTCTTAATGCATGAGTTCCAAAAGTTCTTGACTTCATTGTCAGTGCGTCCGGGCAAGTGCTTAGCAATCTGAGCCCATTTGTTACCAAGAATACGATGTACATCGATTATGATTTGCTCTTCCTCAGCGTTAAACGTTCCTCTCTTCAGGTCAGGCCTCAGATAGTTTATCCACCTTAATCTGCAACTCTTCCCACATCTTTGCAGCCCTATATACACACACATACATGCATAAACACCAATGAATATATATTCTTTTAGGTCACATTTAAATTCAGATATACAGATAATGATGAAAAAAAGAGTGAGAAGAGAGAAGATATAAAACCGGCAAGCTTGGGAACAGAACTCCAGCTGGGATGACCATGCGTGGTGATGTAACGAAGAAGCTTCTCGTCTTCCTCAGGAGACCAAAGACCTCTCTTCACCTTGTGTTTTCCACAGCATCGATGTCCCATTTCATCTCTTTTCATTTCCCAGTTCTTTTTCATCTTTCCTAATTTATATATACAAGGTCTCTTGGTGTTAATAAACCCGCAGGGGTCACTATTTAATTAATTTACCCTCATTAGTACTTATTTCTTTCTTGGAAGAACTAAACTATATGATTAACCAAACTTGTGTTGTTTCTCTTTTTCCTATGTGTGTCTTCAAATGGAAGCCTGTTTAGAGACATTAGTAGTTCACGTCACTTTCCTTGAAAAAATCATCTATATATGTACCTAATTAACTTGTGTTTCTGATTAATGCCATTCATTGCATGCATTGTAATTATCAGTTTAGTTTTATGCAAATGGTTTCATCATATGTATGATGTTGCTATAAGATACTAGTTACTAAAATAATACGGAGTTTTATTGTTGTGTACAGTGTACTACGCTTCAAAATACATCGGATCATTGGTAAGAAAACTAGTAGAATGAAACACAAGTTATTGTCATCGGATCATCAATTACGTTATGTTGTATACTTGTATTGAATCCATGCATATGCCAGATATTAATTAGTTTTATGAGAGTCTTATTATATTCCTTTGTAAACAAAAAAATGAATACGCACAACTCATGAACGCTAGAAGATCTAAAATTACTACTTGTAATTGCGTTACCTCACTTCATTATAACAGAGATATAATCATATGCAGTACATGCAGTTTGAAACGAAAAAAATGTACAGTAGACTTGTCATTTTGTTATTTGAAAAAGTTAGCTACTAGAATCACCAGAGAATTCCTTCTGGTGGTCGTAAAGTTGTAGAACTGTGCCGCAATTTTACCCCGGAACGTAGAACTTTTTTTCTAATATACAATCCAGAATTCCAAACTAAAAGTCTAATTAACCACAAACTAATTTTCGGAATCAATACAAAAACCGAGTATATCTTTCAGTTAGAAGTATTTATAGTGACCAATCATAATTGAAATCGCGGAAGAAATAATTGAACCATAATCCATGATGAACCCTTAAACCTTTAAACTGGTTGTAACGTACTTATTGTCTTTGATATGGGAGACTTTTCTGAGGCATAAACATGAGATCTAGTCTTAGCCGAGTACTTATTGTCATCATGGGAGACTTTTCTATGCAAATGCATTATTTTGTTGATAAGTGGAAAAGATCTACACAACTTTTGGTAGTGTTTGAATATATCAACCCAAAAATGGGAATCGGTAAATTTAATTACAACGTCGGAAATAAAATCGCCGGAAACAATAACTCAGAACGGAAAGACTATATATTTGCATAAACAGCAGGTTATTACTATTAGTAAATATGTTTCATTTACTAAGAAATAAGTAGTTAATATTAGAGGTAACGTAGGGAGCACGACTGCAAAAAATTCCGACCTAATCGCAACTACTAGAAAATTGGAGCATGAGAGGAATTGGATCAATCCTTGGAGCTTTCCAATTCCAAATAGAAATTCCGCTTAAGTAAGCCACGTAAGTACGGGTCAAGCATAATATAGGTCTATAACGCAATCGATAGTTTGAATCCGTCAAGTTAAATGTAAGAATAAACTAATGGGTGGGGAGAAAGCGGTTAATTAACATAATAATATAAACCAGTCGCTGTTAATTACCATATCATGTAAAATCTTCGTCTAGATGAAGCTACATATATTTAACTATACGTTTGATTTGGTTTTCCATTAGTATAACGTATTTCAGCCTTCGTCTCTTTCAGCTTTTCTTTCTTTATTGATAAACCCTAACCATGGGCAAACTGATGGAATAAACCACTTGGATGATCTTTTGATTTTCTATAATAAAACACTTAACTTAAAGAAAGAAGAGGCAAATGCTGGGCAATTCTGGTATTAGTTTGACAACATGAAGTCAGAATGATGTAACACAATTCGTTTTCCTAATCTTCAATAAATGGGCAATCATAATTCATGACGACTGACGAGTCTGCTTTTCCAAGACACGTACGTACTGTACGTGATTTAGCTGTAGGAGTAGTAATTAAGAAGCTCCTATACCTAGCTCTTTTGGTGTTTGTCTTTCTTGGATTTTTTATTTTTTTAATTTAATTAGTACCAAATGTCTAGTTCCACGAACTCATTTTATTAACATGAAACATTGTCACATTGTCATTTGAATAGTTTTGTTTGAAAGATTTTTACGGTTTATTTTTGTTGAGTTTTTTTTTCTTTTGTAAACTATATTAAGAACCATTGCAAATTAACGATGTATATAACTTTTAGAACGGGACGAACGATTCGTTTCTCAAGGATAAAACGAGACATATAGCTACATTAACTTTGTGATTTAAACAAAGAAAAGAAACAAGTTGTTTCAAACAACTAATAGTAACAGAGATTTGAAGGCTGGTGAAGTGTGAGAGAAAACAATAACTCATTTACTCCATCGTTCAATCTTATCTTTAAGTTATGTAACAGAGTCATACATAAAGATTAAATAAAACATCCTTTTTTGACCGTTTCAGATCCACAAGACTTCCATTGACTCGTCAACCGACAGACTTGAGAGTTGAGACTACTGTACAAATGATAAACCTTGTCTTAACTCTTAACCAGACTATTTATGCCTTCAACGGAAGAGATTAACGTTTTACACGAGCACTATTTTCAAAATTCAAGAAAATTGGGCTGTTCTAGTTTTAGGCTTTGGCCCAAATTTTAGTGATTGGATAGTATAGCCCAAATCGGAATGTGAACAAATGCTAGTTTTAAAAAGTTTAATTCACTGACACAGTTAGATTAAGGAAATTATGAGAGTTGGATAAAGCTAGAAAAGTGACTAGCTAGGTAGAAAGAAAAATCTTTAAAAGTCAGTGTGCAAGTCAACCCAAGATTTGAGAAGTTCATGAGGCAATCTACTTAACCATATATTGCACATCATCACATTTATATATAGAGTGCATAACGAAGACCGACTAAATGTTTTGGCAGAAGTTATTACATGTAAATTCGTGCATTGATACACGAGGTGCACATTATAAACTAGAGTAGAAAGAGTCAAGTAGCTAGACGCCTAGACCTAGTATTATTATCTAACCGAGACAAACCGTATGGGTCTTGGCAATGGAACTCCGAGAATCTTGCAAGGAGAAGTTGGAATTGATGTCAGGGAGATTCAACGTCGAGTCCATCAAGGAAGATGAGGGAAAATGATCCTCAAACCATGGGATTGGGAGGGATGGTGTGTTGTTGCGGTCGAAAAAGAGAGCAGAGTAGTCTTTGGTGAGGCTAGCTTCTTGGGTTTCACGTGCTTTCTCTAACATGCTCTCCATGTATTTCACTTGCGCTGCAATCCTTTGATTTACCTGTCTTTCTACTTCCACTTCTTCCTCTATTCTTCTTTGAACTTCCATTTGCATCCTTCATCACCATATCCATTGCCATATTGTAATATTCACAGTACATTATATTCGAATCAATAGTTAGGATTGGAGTTGGAAGCACATACTCGTTCATATTGCGAGCAGTGATGTGTGGAGTTGTGAATACAACATTTCTCTGTAGATCCAACATGGAAGCTGCATGCATGATGTTGATTATCACATATATAAGCTTTTCATGGCGCAGTCACAAATTCACCAATATAGTGTAACTTTAATATTTAAGAAGGCTGATGAATTATGCTTACCTCTGTTATTTGCATCCTTGATGTTAATGGAGTGACCATGAGTATGCTCCTTGTGAGGCTGCTTTCCAAGCCTGAACTTCTGTAGTTGAACCACACATATATTCAGTTAATTTACTAATATATGTTTGAAATCCTAACTACAATTAAGGAAAAACAGAAATGAAACTAAGAAGAAAAAACTAAAAAGTAAAGAAGATGAAAGAGAGGAAGAATTAAAAATAGGACCTGAAGATGGCTCTTGAGATGATAAAGCGTGAGACCCTTCACACCCATCACTCTCATTATGGTCTTTGGTGTAGCCTCTGCTGATATATATCACAAATCAATATAGCTAGCTACTACTGTATGTCTATGGGAACAACAATCAGTTTAAAGAGAGATATAAATGGTGATGAACACGTACTGTCAGGGCCTCCAAGGTGAGAGACGGCGTCAACAAAGCGTTCATGAAGCTCTGTGGTCCAGCGAAGGCGAGGCTTAGGGTCAGTGGTGAGGACGAGACCTGATGATGAATCATCTCTCATCTCCTCCCTTGACTGCATCATTCAACAAAACCAATGCCGATGGATGATGCAATGTACAAGAGAATATTAGTATTTATGAAAGATGGAAAAAGTAACACACGACGTCTTGCAAATTGTAATTTATAAATACACATTTTTTTAGTTAAAGCAAATTATAAGTACATATAGTAATTACGGAGTGACATTGACATATATGATTTTAAACATATAAGTATACAAGGTGGTTGTCCCGCACCTTGTGCGGGTACAATATTTTTTAAATACAATTATTAATTAAAGATTTAAATAATATAAGTAGTACAACTTTTTATTGTATTCATCGTTTTTGTTTTCGCAAACTTCTTATTTTTGTAATCTTGAGGTGTCTTATTTTTATCTTCTCTTTCTTGTTCTTCTACGTAATATTCTTCATTTGTTTTGGAATTTTCTTCACATTCCATTATTTCTTCTTTCCTTTCTTTTTCCTCATGTTCGACTTTTCTTTTTCTTTTCTAAATTTTTCATCTTCTTTTTCACTGTTTTCTTTTCTTTTACTTATGTATCTATTATGTCTTGTTTGTGTCTTGCATATCACCTACCAATTCATTTCGATAGTTAAAATTTTCAATATTTTTGAAATAGATTCTATCTTTATATAGTTGAGGTCTTTTAAAAATTTATTAGTTTTGTTATCTTTCAATTCTGGATTTTCTTTAGTTGTTTTAGTTTTTTTTTCTATTTGTGAATGTAATTTTGAAAGTAGATATAAATTTCAAATAAATGATTTTTTTATTATGAAATTCTTCTGTAATAATTCAAGTTTTTTTAAAATACACCAAAAACTAAACCCTACCCCATCAATATAAACCCTACACCCTAAACCCAAACCCACAGTGTAACACCACCCCCTAAATAACCCAAACCCCACATTGTAACACCACTACCAAATAACAACCCCCTCCCCCCAATCCGCACACCTAAACCCACATTTTACAAAATCTTTTTAGATAAGTTTATTCAAATTAGGGTTTCATAAGATTTAAGTTGAAAATAAAAACGAAAGATGTACATACCACTAATTTTTGTCAATGCATTTTTTTGAGTTGGTACCATAGTTGATTTCTTTGACTCAATTAGCTCTTCCCAACTGTCATATTAGTTCCTTCCATGACAATTACAAATCTATCAATTGAGTTATCAATCTCTTTTGATGATAGTGTTGTCTTTCCAAGGTGACTTGCCACCATGGTAGCTTCGTTGAAGATGTTTTCAAGATCAGCTCCACTAACTCCAGGCGTTCTCATGGATATTACTATAAGTCAAAGACCGTTCTCAATGTTTTTGATTATACCTTGTTATTTAGGGTAATCAAACGATTGCAGGTATAGATCCCAGCATGTTCTAGTTTCTTCACATCTTCGGCGTCTATATCTTCAGCGTCTATTTATATAGTCTAGACTTCTACGGAGAACCAGTTTACGGAAGTACAATCTTAGCCAAGTGAAGAAGAGATTACAAACAACAACCATTCAGTGACGAAACTAAACCTTATAAACAAATCAATTATCAAACACAAAGCTTCATATATAGTGAATTAATTAGCAGTTCGTGGCCTCTTCCATGATTCCATCGACCGCTTTGTGTCACGAAACCAAATATCATAATGAAATCAATAGTCCAACACCTACAGATCTGAAGAGTGAACAATAACAAATTTGGCTTCTTGATCCGATCCCATATATCTCTTGTGAGGAGTATATTGTTTATTTCGTTATGGTTCTGATGAAGCGTGTTGGCTAAGAAGAACAATGTGGTCGACCTAGGTTTTGCCAATTTATATAGAGATTAATGAATTTAGGGTTTTCAATTATTTTTGCGAGATAAAAAATCGATAAGAAAAAAAGGAATATATCCGCAAATTCTAAAAATATTTAAGTCAATAATCAAATTCGTTTTTAATAAAAAAAAAAGAAATTTTGAAGATTTAATTGAAAGATTTTCATTAAGGGTTTCTCGGTAATTCCGCGGCTGAGAGTTAACGTGGTGCCTCCATTCACGAAAATTGATTTGCAAATACTAATATGATAAAAAGAAGAAACAAACAAAATCAGTAGGAGACATATTTAGCTATATATGCAATAGGGGTTGTTGTAGGCTTTGAAGTTGTAATACATGCAGGCGTTTTTTGCATCCACACATGTCTAAATAGTAAATACCATCAAATCTGAATTTGCATGTTCAAGTCCTTTTATTTGTCCATATCCGAAATACGAAATTGTTTTTCATAACCAGTTATATGCACATGCATGGGGAATAACTGTTAGGAACTAAAGCATCTTATTTGTTTTAAAAATTGTTTAATCTAGATGAAAAGATTCGTGTTCAGGGTACTTTAAATTTTAACTAAAGATGACAAGTGGAACAAAGCTGATGTTTAACTTTTAGCTCATCAATATGAATGCAAATAGGAATCATACAGGTTGGGAAGAAAAGAAAGAAAAAAAGGAAGAAAGTAATTGTTTTGTTTGCTTAGTTTTCAAGCTGCCTCTTGTCTCCTTTATTTAATTTGATAGATTCTTCTTATAATCTGTCGATGAATATATTCCCTTTCATATCAGTATATCACACACCACTCAGTTCTCATGACTCGAAATCTCGAATCAATCAAACCAATATCAACAACATGTAGACTTGTCAGCAGAAATACAGATATTGGACTGAAGAAAAAAAGCTGAGGCCCTTTTTAAGAATTGTTAAAGACCAATTTATATATTAAAGGCCCAATTAAATTGGGTCCATGTCTCCGGTCGCTTTCTTTCATCCCGCGTATTTTTGGTGTTGGTTCCTACTTCCTAACAAACATGACATTTGCAGTGGACAGATTTTCATTTTTCTTAACCACTCTACATTATCTTCCATATTTCTACTCATCAGTTTAATAAAAAAATAACTTATCAATTGAGCAGATAGCTTTTTTTGTTTTTTTTTTTTTTTTTTTTTTTTTTTGTAATTCATGTTGTACAAACAAAATCAAATACTAATATGCATTTTAGATTTGTCGGTTTTATTTCAGGAGGATTAATTTGGATTAATTTGTTTAATATTTTATCTTCAGTTAAAAATTAAAATTAAAAAAAAAAGGAGCGAAGTCTGACAAAAAGAGCAAAATCAGTAGCAAAAAGAAGAAAGAAAAAGAACTCGTCTTTGCCAATTGTCAATTTCTACGAAACTTCAAATTTGGGGATTCTCTTCTTCTAGATTGAAGAACATGGGTCTTTAGCCGCCGTCATTGACGACGACGACGACGACCATTCTCCCTTCTCTCTTCTCCTTTTTTCTATTTCCTTCTCTCTCTCACTTCACCGTTTCCTTTCCCAACGCAAAAAACTCCCTTTTCTCAGCCATGACTCCCAATACGGCATCGTCTAGCGCCGCAGCTAACGGATCCGCAGATTCGTCCGGCGCCCGGAGAAATTCCAAGCGACCCAAGTGTATTTAACCTCCCCCTCTTCCTTATCTTCAACAAATTTCGATTCTTGTTGACACTTTGCTTTAATCATATTTGGTCTTTCATGCTACTACCATCTGCGATCCACTATTGTGCTTGCTCACTTTTTAGTTTCTTCTACAAATCATTCTCCAGCTTCTTGCTTATTTGTGCTGAGTTTGTTTCCGTAGAGTAATTTAGATTCACTTGAATTGATTCGACTCTCTAGTTATTATTGGGGTATTTAATTAATCGTCAAAGAATGGAACTGTGTAAGCTTTTTAGCTAGGATTCAAGAATGTTATAGCTAAAAGCTGATTTTTGCTCGCTAATGATTGATTGCAGATTCAAAATTTACACAGCAGGAGCTTCCAGCTTGCAAGCCAATTCTTACACCTGGTTGGGTAAGCTTCTTCATAACCCTCGTAGCATCATATATTTGTATCCTCAGTCCGTCTCCAGTTTTTCTTTGAAACTGTACCAAAATTTCGTTTATCTTGCGTCTTTTTGCAGGTGATTTTGACATTCTTGGTCATTAGTGTTATCTTCATCCCACTAGGAGTTGTTTCTCTTTTCGCTTCCCAGGACGTAAGAAACGATGATCCAAATGTTGCTCTTCATTTTTCTTCCACCTAACATACTGCTTCCATGTCTCACTAATATTTTCATCTCTTATGGACAGGTTGTTGAGATAGTTGATCGATATGATAATGCCTGCATACCGGAGCTTGATAGGGCTAACAAAGTTGCATACATTCAAGGAGCTGCAGATAAATCTTGTACCCGGACAATAATTGTGAGTCTCTCCTCTGCAGCATCAGTGTTTCCTTCTTTGAGAGAATGATTAGCCTCTGAATGTCTTTGTTTGCTTGCTCTTTACTTTAAGGTTCCTAAGCGTATGAAGCAGCCTATCTACGTCTATTACCAGCTTGAGAACTTCTACCAGAATCACCGCAGGTAACTTTCATAACTTCTAGTTTTGTATGGAGTTTCAATGCTCAAGCTTAAATCTTTTCTTGGAATTGGTATTTTGGATATTACAGGTATGTGAAAAGCCGAAGTGATGCGCAGTTGAGAAATGTGGGAGATGAGCGTCAAATAGGCGCATGCAAGCCTGAGGATGATGTTGGTGGGCAGCCGATTGTGCCGTGTGGTCTAATAGCTTGGAGTCTCTTTAATGACACATACGCTCTGTCAAGAAACAACCAGACTCTAGTTGTAAACAAGACAGGAATTGCGTGGAAGAGTGACAGGGAAAACAAGTTTGGGAAGAATGTATTCCCCAAGAACTTTCAGACTGGTAATCTCACCGGTGGTGCCAAGCTAGATCCAAATAAATCGGTAAGCCTTTTAATACTTTGGTACAGTCTCAGACTTGGTCTGCAAAAGACTTGACTTGGCACTTTCTTTCTCTCTCTGTTTCAGCTGAGTGAGCAAGAGGATCTTATTGTGTGGATGAGGACTGCAGCTTTGCCAACATTTAGGAAACTGTATGGGAAGATAGAGCGTGACCTGGAGCAGGGTGATACCATAACCGTGAACCTGAAGAACAACTACAACACGTACAGTTTCAGTGGGAAGAAGAAGCTTGTTCTGTCAACAACTAGTTGGCTCGGTGGGAAGAACGAGTTCCTCGGCATTGCTTACCTCACAATTGGAGGAATCTGTTTCTTCTTGGCACTTGCATTTACTATCATGTATCTTGTGAAACCTAGGTACACATACTCCTATGACTCCCATCTCTGGCTATGAAAAATGTATTGTTCTAAGATTATAACAGCAAAGTGTACATGTTTGATTTGGTGTTGGGGATGTTATCATTGCAGGCGACTTGGAGATCCTACTTACTTGTCTTGGAACAGAATTCCCGGAGGAGGTCGGTAAACAAAAGACTCTGTATATGATCTCCATATGTAAATCTTTTTATCCATGATTGTAATTTAAGCTGCAAGTGAGATGATTTTGTAATATACATGTGAAATGCATGATGATGTTACATTGGTCCATTACATAGAGAAATGAATGATTAATGCTTATCCTCTCTATCATGCTCATTAGTCATCACCTGTCTCTTCCTCCAAAAAGCAACTCTTTCTCTCTCTCTCTCTGCCTTTAACTATTGTTTTGTCTCTCTCTATAACAAAAACATACATTTTGGTGCATCAAAGTAGAATAGTATTGATTCCGAGATTAGAAACATCATTACAGATTCTAGAAAAAAGAGCGGCATTTTTTGTGCTTGTTTGTTAGTAGCTGCTGCAGAATCATTCAAGCCCAAATGGCGAGGAGAGACATGGAACCAGCACCGAGAAGGAGAGAGAGAAAAGCAGCCAAGTGAAGCCAGAGATTGGATTGCAATCTTGGGTTGACGAAATCAGGAGCAAGAAGATCAACGAGTGACATGTAAATGAGAATCCCAGCAGATGCAGCGTTCAACATCCCTTCCACCATTATCGCCTCTTTGCTCTCTCTCCTGTAACCTAAACCACTGGACATCACCATACCTATACCTATCCCAACCGATGCCGTCACCGAGAAAAACGCCGCCATTATCACCGTCGATTTCGACTTCAACTCCGCCTGTACACACAAACACATCTTGTCAGAAACATGTCAAAAAGTTTTTAAATCATAATCTGTTTGCAGTAAGTGGAGACGAGAGACTTACGAGGGAGATGCAGCCACCAAGGCCAAGACCTTCAAAGAACTGATGGAAAGAGAGAGCAGCCATGAGTGGCTTTATGGTCTCTGTGCTCTGTGAAGCTCCGAGCGATATTCCTATGATAACCGAATGCACAACGATCCCAATCTCAAGAACCTGCGACACTATCCTTCTCCTGATCAACTCCGTCGAGCCATGCGCGTGTCCGTGACTCGCATGCGTGTGCACGTGAACATGACCGACATGCTCTTCTTCGTCCACAACGTTCACTTGCTTGATCCCATTGTTACTGCTGAAGTGTTGCCTCTTGTAATACCCCGTCGCGAACGTGTCGACCATAAGCGTCCCCATCGCCGACACCATCGCTACGAAGCCGGCGAACGGGAACTTGCTAGCCGCCGTGCCTTCGAGACAAGGCGAGCTCAGTCTCTCGAACGCGTCTGGTAAGATGTGGACGAATCCTGTGCAGAGGATCACTCCTGCGGCGAAAGCTTTCACCATGAAGAAGATATCGTTCTCTGGCTGTAACGCCGGAATCTTCTTCCCGACCAACGGTAGACTGACGCCGAGACCTCCGGCGACAAGAAGCAGAGCGATGGAACCGAGCTTCAGCTTCGTCGCTTTCTCTGCTTCTTCTCGAGACACAGCGTCGTGATCGTCGTGGCTTGTACAGTCACTCGAGGCACAACACAAATGTAAACATAGAATGGTTATTACAAAAATTCTCAACATGTTTGAGGAAAAACAGCCACGAGATTCAGACATGGGTTTAGATATTTTTTGTTTTGTTTGTGTCTTGCAGTGACTGTAAGAGAGTAAAGTGTGAAGAGTTATGGGGAAGAAAGGGAAGCTTCTTATAGCGAGAAAGCTTGAGAGAGAAGAGAACAATTAACTTTATAAGCGAGTGGTCCATAAATGTTCATAGCAGAATCTAAACTTACGTAGAGTTGACCACTATACACATTACATTTCGTTTTCACGCACATATATTCTCTTGTTAGTCGTATAATTGTACTTGCACAGTATTATTTAAGTCATAGGGAAAGAAAGACTAATACAAATGGAACGAACAATAAACACTATTGCCTCTTTCCTTTTGTTTATTTACCTTTTGTTATATTTATGGCAAAAGGCGGCTAAAGACATTCACTGGTTAGTATAAGAAATTCTTCAAGCATCTTTAGATTGTAGCGTATGGATGGCTGAGATAAGACGCCCTTTCGATATCTTCTAATCATTATATTCATCTATTTATAATTAAGGAAACTATATAGAGACTAATTGAGCTTGCAACGTAAAAGCTCTGTTTACTACTAATGCAGTAGGAAAAGATGATTTGCGAATTCAATAGTCATGAACTCATGATCAAGGTTAGTACACTTCTTTTCACTTTATCAAAAGCAAATAATTATGTGTAGACAAATTGAAATGTGAGAGCTTTTAACCAGAAAGTAAATGTGAAGACAGAATGTCGTCATGTTAGCCTGTGAGACGTGAAAATAGTTGTTTTAATTTGATTTTTTAGTTTACTTTTGGCTTCAAGAAATGAAGATGGTCTCATCGTCCTCACAAGGTGGGTTGGGTGGGTAATGTTGCACCGATCAAGCCACGTGTTTCGAAATCAGATTTCACTATCACCAATTGAGTGAGTGCGATGGTTACCTGAACATAAATAATATTTTTGTTTTATATTTTCGTTTGAAGTCTGAACTATATAAATAACAAATAGACGTTTGAGAAAATATTTGTTGGATTTTAATGATGAACAAAATCGATAGAATAAATCTTAGAAACACACAAGTTTGATCAGGCTTGGCTAAAACATTTAGAAACAAAACATCTAATATTATAATATTCTAACAACCAATAATACTTCTGATCTAGATAAACTGAAACTCGAATTTTTGTCTATGAAACACTGTTTTGTAGTTTTGTAGTTTATGCACCACTTGAGTCTTGAATTGTAGTTTTGAGATGAGATGATGTTTTTTTTTTGGGGTCATTATTCGTATACGTATATATCACAAACATGTACTTCGTTTATTGATCTGTTGTCTCTTTAATCTTTATACACTATTGTTTTGTTACATCATTAGACACTGCAGTTTACGACAAAATGAATTTCAAACTAGAGTAAAAGAAATGAACTTCTATTAAGCAATTGTACCTTAAAAGTAAGATATTGAGCTATTGACTTTTTTTTTTCTCTCAAGAAATGAGATGTTCACTTTTTACATATAATCGTGTGGTAGCATTCTTGAGCGCATGCCAAGCACAAGAAAACGGATTTCGACGCCATTACAAGCAGAGTTTCAAGCCGTTCTCTAATTTCGACGCTGTTACCAATTTACCAGCAGAGTTTCAAGTACACCGCAAGAAAATAACATTTCCTAAAAAAAGCTTAATGCTACGATTCAGTAATATGATTAGTAGCTATAAAACGGTATACTGTATCTTTTACCATTATAATAAATGATTAAACGATCAAATACTCTTTAAAAGATAAAATGATTCTGTATATCAAAAGATGATTTAGTAGTTTAAGTTGAACTCGATTTCTACTAGAAACATATTTGCTCTCATTTGACTAGTACGTAATTGAGAACCCCATAAGAAATTTATGAATACCATAAGATACTTCAGTGTAATGATTCTTTAACAAACATATTATAATAAAATATATATATAGATATATATAATAAATAATATTGATAATTTGTTAATATTTTGATCATCATAAGTTCAAAGTACAAACTTTTCAAGAAAATTATAGCAAAAACTTGGTGTGATACTTTTAACATGGTTTTTTATTATAGATTTGAGAAACTGGAAAAAAAAATTGAAGCACACAATTAAATTTTGAAAGCTAAACTTTATTATATAGGTTTGGTAAGACATAAAATATGATATATATATTTTTTTTCCTTTTCTATGAGAATACGAGAATATGACATGCAATTTTTTTTTTTTTTGGTTAGAATATGGAACCTTCATATTTTATTTTTCATTTACCGTTAGATTATGAAATGTTTTCTATTTTAATAAGGATGATCGTTGTTTAATACCTTTTTAATTTGATTTTTTTTTCGAAGACATATGTCAAAATTTTAATAGGAATAAATTAAAAATCACACATATTGTAGTCCATTGGTAAATATGCATTTATTCTTTTTTCTTTATAATATGAAACATTCTTCTGTTAGAATTTGGCATGCAAACATCAGAATATGGCATGCAAACATATTTTTTTCCAGAACAGGGTAAATATGCATTTTTACCTTTTTTTCCGTTAGAATATGGAGTTTTGTTCTGTAAAAATATGGAATGCAAAAATATTTAGCATTTTCTTTTTCCATTAGAATATGGAACCTCCTTCTATGACATGGAAAAATACCTTTTTTCTTCTTCCGTCAGAATATATAACTTTTAAAATATTGATGATCGTTTTTTTTAACATCCTTTTTATTAGTTTTTTCTTTTTCTTTTTCAGTTAAACACATGTCACGATCTTAAAAGTTATAAAATTAAATAATCACATATGTCGCGATCTTATAAATTATAAAAATCATACGTGTCGCAACCACGTCACGCACATCCAACTTTATGTAATAAGATGTCTATGTATATAAAAAGTTACATATATAAATTGGATAATTATTAATCTATATAAGGTTTTTAAATTAATATTCATCAACTTATATAAACATTAAAAATATTGGAAAGTTCAAAAATATTTATTTATATTAAAATTTTAATTTTTCTGTTAAAATTTGTTTTTTTTTAAGAAAATAAAAAAATTAATATTTTTAATATATATGAAGTGGATAAGATATTCGTTTAAATATTTGAATTTTACGGATATCCGGGATAGCAACAGAGTGGATCGGATCGTAAAACCCTTGATCCGGATGGAGTAGAGTGGATCGCGGATACCGTCAAAATTCCGATATCGGCTCCGTGCCCAAAGCTATTATTATCCACTGAAAAAATCCAATAAATTGAGCTTACAGAAATCATCAGACTTTCCATCCGGCACCTCTTAGTTAGAAAAAGAAAAAGATATACTCTGCAACAAATTTGTATCTTAGGCTAAGATATTTTTCCATTTATGGATTTGAATCATTCACTTTTTTGTTCTATCATTCATTTTAATAAAGGAAAAATATTAAGACTTAAAAAAAGGAAAAACAACAAAAAAAAAGTTAAAAAGAAAAGAAGAAAGAGGCCCCGGAGAGAAAACAGAAGAAGAGAGAGGCCGCGGAGAGAGGAAAGTGAAAAGAGCAATCGTGCGACTCCCGAGTCCTCCCTCCCTCCCTCCTGACTCACTCCTCTCCTCTCACTCCTTTTGCTTTACGGTGGCCGGAGCTTGCATATAAATACAGAGCCAACAACACAAAGTTCCAATTCGTCCTCGATTCTCTTGTTAGGGTTTTGTTTTTGGGTTCCCTCGTTTCTTCATAATGGTAAGCCCTTTCTCCTCCATCTGCCTTCTGGGTTTTTGGATCCACTTATCTTCGTATCTAAAGCTTGAAGCTTTTTGACGTCTTGAGAATTCCTTAATTTTGCGATTTCCAGTGGTTTATCGTCATCTTTGTGTGTATATAACTAATCATATGATCTCTCTTCTCCTTCTGCAGAATAAGTTGAGTAAAAGCAACCGCGATAAGCTTCAGCAGTTCGTGGCTATCACTGGAGCTAGGTAATCGGATCTATCTATCTCCACTAGCATGATTATTTTCTACTTTACTGTTGATTTTGTTGTTTTATATAAAGGCAAAAACAGGAAGTAGTTGTGTAGCAAACGCGTTTAAATTTGTTCTTTGATTGTTCATACATCTCAAACTGCGTTTTGGCTGACCTGATTATCATGTGTGGGCAGTGAGAAGAATGCTCTTCAGGCTCTCAAAGCCAGCGACTGGCGCCTCGAAGCAGCGTTTGATGTGTTTTACAGCCAGCCCCAACCAAAAAGCAATGCTGATACAAGACGCTTGGAGGAGCTCTACAATAGATATAAAGGCAAGCTAGTTGTTGCTCTTTAGATGATTACAGCTTCTTTTAATATCATTTGTGTAGTGTACCTGATTGCTTTAATATTGTCATGTTACATTCTGCAGACCAATATTCTGATATGATTCTAGCGGATGGTGTCTCGGTTCTGTGTAATGATCTTCAGGTAGCTTATCTTCTTGAATAATGCTAAGAATGATATGGTTTATCTTACATTGCATAAATAATAACTGACTTGAATTTTTCTTCAGGTGGAACCCCAAGACATAGTCACGGTAATGTTTATTCTTAAACCTTTTCCTACAACTCGCTTGTGTTTCTTGCTTTTGTCTTGGCCTAAAATACTACCCAATAGGAGTTTAGTACATTGTGAGAGAGTGACTTAAAAGGTTAAGAGGGAAAAAAATTGATGTGGATGAGGATATGCTATATCCATTGATGGAGATTGTAGAGAACAGATTGAAAGTGGGGGTTTAAACTCATTGGTTTCTCACTGGTTGCTTTTGGTTTTCTTGTTCATCTTCTGAAAATTTGGCTAAATGGGTACTTACTTCAATTTCAGTTGGTTCTTTCGTGGCATATGAATGCTGCCACAGCGTGTGAATTTTCCAGGGAAGAATTTATTGGTGGATTACAGACATTAGGGTGAGTGAACTCTATGCTTGATGCTATTTAATTTCTGTAACGATGTGGCCTGTTCTAGGACATTTTGATGCGGAGTTTAACTGAAGACCTTAATTTTCTGATTACAGCGTAGATACCATTGGGAAGTTGCATGAAAAGCTGCCATTTTTGCGTTCTGAGCTTAAAGAAGAACGTAAGAAGATAATTATTCTTTATCTGTTTGGATTTGATCAATGGAAAGTTCAATGTTTTGCTGACATGTGTGTAATGTTCTTCTTGTTGTTCAGAAAAGTTCCATGAAATATACAACTTTGCTTTTGGGTGGGCGAAAGAAAAGGTAACGAAAGCTCCATCTGGAGTCGTTTGCTTTCATGAGTTGTTTTCTCTGAGCTAGTGACAAATATACAACTTTAAAACGTTTCAGGGGCAGAAGTCTCTTGCTTTAGATACAGCGATTGGGATGTGGCAGTTGCTCTTTGCAGAAAGAGAGTGGCCACTGGTAAATCACTGGTGTGATTTCTTGCAGGTAAACAAACACTCTTGAATTTTAATATATCATCAACGCATGGTCTTATGATATCTGTGTTTGATTCTGATACAATTTACCAAATCCAGGATCGTCATAACAAGGCCATAACTAAGGACACATGGGAACAGCTCCTGGAATTTTCAAGGGTAAGAGAAAAACTAGAGCTTACATATATTGGTTGCAACTATGGCTTAGTTTTGGTATATGGATTGAGACATTGGTTTGTGATGCAGACGGTGGACCCGGTGCTGTCGAATTACGATGCAGATGGAGCATGGCCTTACCTCATCGACGAATTTGTCGAGTATTTGTTTGAAAAAAGCGTTATTCAGAAGTAACCTGCCAAGTCCCAGCTGGGAGAAGTGATCAGCTCTATTCTACAAAAGCTCCTTCTCATTATTTTAATAGACATGCTTTTGTGTTCCTTTGTCAGAATTGGTGAATCTTTCAGACTAATCCTTTCAGCGTAATGAAACCAACGATTGTTTTACCTTTTAACTGTTGTGTTACCAATAATCACCGCAAGAACAAACTTCATCCTTAAAATGGTGGAATCGATTAGTGTCTCTCACAATGATCTCTCTACTCACAAGTTTCGAGATGATCTTTGTTGCAGCGTGACAGTTCACACAAGCCCTCAGATTCTTTGTGATCCGCAGTGTTGTCCCTTGGGGTGTACTTATAGTCCCATACGCAATCGCTATCCTCTCACTGTGGCTGCACAGAGTCTCCTCAGTTTCTTCCTCGTTGAGATCATGCAATGAAGCATCCTTGTACGCCACAAATCCACACTCCTTGAGTTTATTCTCAATCCACTCTACTTGTTTCTCAATCTCTTCATATCTCGGATGTGACTTGTCACCAACTCGAAAAGCCTCCAACTTTCCTCTTACTTCAACCCAGCTGCATCCAACGTCTTTGTTCAATCCTTTCTCCTTCATTCTCACTCTTACCTCTGCCACACGGTCCCACAAACGCGCTGCAGCATACAGGTTAGAGAGCTGCACGTAGTGGCCTGTGTTGGATGGGTCTATTGAGAAAAGCTGCTGAGCTGCGTATTCTCCTAGTCCCACTTGGCGATGCTTCTTGCACGCGCTTAGCAACGCTCCCCAAACAGTTACACCGGGCTGGACCGGCATGCCTCTGATCACCTCATGAGCTTGGTCTAGATGACCAGCACGACCGAGAAGATCAATGACGCATGCATAGTGCTGCTGCTGCGGGTTTATCTTGTGATCTGCCATCCGGTTGAAGAACCACCAGCCTTCTCTGACCAAGCCTGAATGGTTACAAGCCATGAGAAGCCCTAAAAAAGTGACATCATTGGGAATGACTCCACCACGCTCCATTGCACGGTAGAGACTGATCGCTTCTCTTGCCATCCCATGCAGTCCATATCCAACAATCATTGCACTCCACACCACAACGTCCTTGTGTTCTGTTCTGTCAAAAACTGTTCTTGCGCACTCTACACTTCCGCATTTACCAAACATATCGATTAGCGCGCTGCTCACAAAGACATCATCCCTGTGGTCGCTCCTGCTCACGTATTGGTCCATCCATCGAGCCTGCTCGAGAGAACCTACTTGAGCGCAAGCTGAAATAGCAGATGTGATGGAGATGGTGTCAGGTGTTACATTTTCATCGATCATCTCATGAAACATATCAATAGCATCCTTGGCGTAACCGTTTTTAGCATAGCCTGATATCATGGCGTTCCACAAAATCAGGTTTGGCGACTTCATCTTATCAAACAGAGTCTTGGCGGTTGCGACTTGGCCACATTTTGCATACATGGTGTTGAGAGAGATGAGCAAGTCAGGCTCTGTTTCAAGACCCATCTTCACAACAGATGCGTGAACAGATCTCCCTTGCTCCAAATCCTGCAAGCATGTGAAGGCATTGAGAACGCTGACGAGAGCTACCCAGTCAGGCATCACACCCATCTTCCTCATCTGACTGAAAATCTCAAGAGCCTCCAGAGGCTCACCGTTCTGAGCATAAGCTGAAACCATAGCCGTCCATGAGACTATGGTTCTCTCTGTCAACGGCAATCCTTCAAACACAGTTCTTGCTCGGCACAAACGCCTGCATTTCGCGTACAAGGCGATGAGACCGTTCTGAACAAACACATCAGCTTCAAACCCAAGCCTGAAGACCTGAGCGTGAACGAGACGACCCATGTGAAGATCAGGCAAGCCGCTGCAAGCTTTGAGAAGGTGAGGGAAAGTGAAAGAATCAGGAGAGACTCGAGCGAGTTGCATCTTGGAATACATGAGAAGAGCATCTCGGAAGGAATTGTTTCTTGAATAGCTTCTGATTATGGCGTTCCAAGGGAATATCTGAGGGCGAGGTAATTCGTCGAACACTTGGCGTGCGAAGCAAATGTCACCGAAGGAAGAGCTTGCGTGAATGAGCTTGGTGATCAAGAAACTGCTAAATTGTAAACCCAGGACAAGTAAACGTGCGTGGATTTGCCTCAGCTGGACTTTTTGAGTGGAAGAATCAATAAGCGCAGCGTAGAAAGAATCTGAATGGATTCCAGAATTGGCTGCACCAAAAAGTCAAATAGATTTTCACTTGTGGGATCAAATTTGGACATATATAAAATGGTAGATTGAGTAACAAGGAGTTCTTACAGTGGAGAAAAGGAGAAGTAAGAAGACATGCTTCCGACATTGTTATTCCTCACACTTTTGTTATTTTCTCTTCTTCCTATGTCTTCGCCATCTCCATCATTTCAAAACACTACTATCAGTCTCATAGAACTCCCTCCTCTTTATTAAGAGAAAACATGTCTTTTTCATTAAAGTTGAAGTGTTTTTTTTTGTTTTAATCATTTATTTGTTAAATTTTGGTCTATTATTGGGAAAAATGAGAAATTTCAAAAATACACATTTTCATGTTTCCATTTTCAAAACTACACTTTTAGAGTGTTCATTTTCAAAATTACATTTTTTATTGAGTTTTCTAAACTTTAAACTCTAAAATCTAAATCATGTTCAAGGATTAGTGAAGCCAAACATATATATTAATATTAGAAAAATGTAGTTTTGAAAATTGACATTAGTGATGTAGCTTTAAAAATGAACACAAAAATGTGTGTTTCTTAAAATTTCTCAAAAAATGCTTATGATATTTTTTATAAAGAAAATGGTTAATTTTAGAAAATTTCCCTAAAATAAAAAGATACACTCAATGGTCATGACATAATGGTGCATAGTTAATAATTACGAGCACAACGCTCAGAAAAGTCACAACACTTAAATATGCTTGGAAATAGTTAATGTATTACACAATGTCAATAAACATTAAGCTAGTCATTCATTAAGATATTTGTATCTATCATGCTTACTAAAATGAAGTGAATTGCTCTCAAGCAACAAGGCCTGACAACTCATATCCTCATAGTTTTTTCTTGTGACTCCATGTTTTTTTCTATCATTAATTTAGTTTGATCTTCTGCTTTGAAACCCAATACTTTTTATCATTACCGTCAGCCTTCTAGTTGTAGATGTGTCACTAAATTCATTTTGATGGCCAAACTGAAAAATAATTCACATGTTTCTTCGATCCTATCGATTTTAAATAACCTTTTTAGCATAATGATATTCAGTTGTAAATTATCATCTTATGTGTCATTTTGATGCTATATGATCTGATTTTGGAAATGATATTTGTATTAATCCAAAAGTGGAACAAAAACTTGTTTTCGAGGGTGGATAAGTCAACATAGAAATCAACATCTGTCAATAGCACACAAATTGCACACAATAGGTTAGATATTGCTTTACTTTTGCCACAATTTGAAAGTTCATGATTTTTATGGTATTTTTCCCGCTAGATAATTCCCAAATCCTAAGACTTCAAGTTCAAGAACTAGACATGTTTTACAAATTCACAAAGGCTTAAATCATGTTATATTAAGGTGTCATGATTTGCATATACGAAACTAGGTGATGGAAATAATTGTAATAATGAAATGAATACTGTCTCCAAGACCAATGATCAGTTAGTTTAATGCCAAATTTTGTCAAACTTGATGAAGGATGATGAATTTTTGATACAATAGTGGTAGAATAACCCAATGAAGATGTATGTGTTTCTGGTTCAAATAAAACATTGTCCTCATATTGAGTCAATTGCTTTATAGTGTTGTTTTGAAAAATATTTTACATATGTTTTGAATATATATATTTATGTAAATTACTAAATTCATTAGACTTTTGATAGTTTAAAGTTTATAAATAAAAAGTAAACTGAGCCAAACTATGTATATATATATATATATACAAAACCGTATATCTTATTATATAAAGCTGGATGCGCACGACGTGGTTGCGACACATAGGATTTTTATAAAATATAGGATCGCGACATGTGTCACTTTTAAGACTATGTCCGTTAAGATCGTGACACGTGTCTTAGGGGAAAATATAATTTTAAAAAAAAACACTAGAAATAGGATAATAAAAAAACGAAATTTAATCTATTTTTTTTTTAAAAAAAATTGTCATATCCTAAAAGAAAAAGGTTTTCCCATTCATCAAATTTATATTATCCAAACACATATATCTTATTATATAAAGCTGGATGCGCGCGACGTGGTTGCGACACGTAGGATTTTTATAAAATTTAGGATTGTACATGTGTCACTTTTAATGTTATGTCCGTTAAGATCGTGACATGTGTCTTAGAAAAAAAAGAAAAAAATAATAATTAAAAAAAATTAGATAAAGGAAAAAAAACGAAATTTTAATCTTTTATAGTTAAAAGAAAAAAAAATTATATTTTCATATCCTAATAGAAAAAGGTTTCTCATTCATCAAATTTATATTATCCAAACACATATAAGATTCAAATTAATGAAATAAATAAAATCCTATTAGTACATGAAATAGGTTAGGTTTAGTTAATCTTTTATAGTTAAAAGAAAAAAAAATTATATTTGTCATATCCTAATAGAAAAAGGTTTCTCATTCATCAAATTTATATTATCCAAACACATATAAGATTCAAATTAATGAAATAAATAAAATCCTATTAGTACATGAAATAGGTTAGGTAAACTAAATTTCCTATAACTGCATGGAATAAGTTACATGAACCCCTATAAAAAGAGAGTTAAAGTAGTCTTTTTTTTCTCATTCACAAACTCATCAAAGCAAACAACATGATAGCAATACGTATGATTTTTATAACTCACAAAATTGCGATATGTGTAATAAAATAATGATAATAAAAAAACTAACTAATAATGAAAATGAAAATTTATAATGGTCTGAGTCAAAAACAAAATTGAGAAAGAAACAATATAAATAGAAAACTAACAAATTAATTATCAAGCAACTAACTAATATTAAGAAAATATAATGAACCGATATTCTAATTTTAAATAGTTTAATATATTTTCATATATTTTTGGTATAATGTAGCAATATATAAATATTTAGGTAAATTAAATAAAGATTTCATCAATTGAAATCTCTTGAATGGAATAATAAAGTTTTGTTGAATTAATTAATCAGTTGATCATATTTAGACATATATAAGTCTTTCTATATTGGATAAAAATAAAAATAAAACAAATTAATTCATTTTTTATATCATGAATTCAAAAAAAATATCAATTACAATAAAAACGTAAAAAGGTTACCGATCTTATTTTATTTAAATATTTTTATCGGGTTTTTAATATTATTCTGTTTACTTTAAAATGATCAAATTTGGTTTAATACTTTTCCATGATTTTATTACAAAATCTTAAAATAAACCCGCGTATACGCGGGTCTTGATCACAATAACAATGATACAAAATCTATATTGTTGTTATCCTTTAGTTTCTAGGGCTAACTTTTTCCTAATCCTATATAACATTAGTTTAATTCGTTATAAAACCTGCACAGGACGCACAAGAGAAGCTAAGTAAATCAGGAGTAATCAGCCGGGACTCTGATGATGAAAGGAATTGATGTAGTCACTAGCGACTCTGATGATGATCAAGCAGTTAAACCTAGCGTACTACCTGCAGCAGACCAAGTTAGGTCAAATTCTGTTCATTCGGTTAGGAGAAGACGTGCAGAGAAAGTTTGGGCAGCTCCTCCTAGAGAAGAGGAAGAGAAAGAGAAAGATGATGAATCCGAAAACCTTATCCCGGTGCCTAAACCAAAACCCGAAGAAAAAGTTGGTGACATCGTTCACGTGGATCGAAACAGTTACTTCATAATTGACATCTTCGAGAAGGAGATCTTTGAGCTGGGAGACAAAGTGGATTTAAACTTCAAGAGATTCAACAAGTTCGAGTCTGTTTATGGAGACGCTCCACGAGATCACCACTTCTACTACAACCGCCGTTGCTGTTACTTCTCTTACTGCTGCTTCTGCAGAAACGGCAGTATAGAGAAAGAATGGGGAATTCTAGAAAAACAGTTAGCCTTGAGGGACAAGGAACATGGCTCCAAAGGAGTCAGCTTCTTCGTGAGGACTTGCAACGAAAGAAAAGAGCTGATGAGAGTCGCTGTAACTGATCAGAGTCACAGCCTGTTCTTCTTCGACCTCAAGTTCCCTACTTCATATCCATATGAAGCACCGAGGTTATTCTACCATCAGTACGGCCTTCCTTTGAGCACTCCTGAAACCCAACTGAAACCCAAACTCTGTTACAGCATCTTAGACGTGTTTCTCCACATTGAAGAGATTGTGTTGGAGAACACAAACAAGTCATGTCAGCAGATGCTGGATGTGCTGAAACGGCCGCTCGCTGGCTTTGAAGATTTCGTGAAGGGGCATTTTAGGAAGAAGGGAGCTTTGATTCTGAGGAACATGATGGAAGAGATGGATATGGAGAAGGAGAGGGATAAGAACATGTTTTGGAAGATGTACATTGCCTTTGAAAGCAATAAAGGACACTGTGAGCATATTCTCAACAGTGATCTTAAAGAAGAGCTCAAGAAATACAAGGAGAAAGAGTGTTCTTCATCTTCCTACTACTACCCAACCATAACCAGCAGGTTCGATGAGGTTAAGAAGACTTCCAAGTACGAGAATATATTGAGCAAGTTCTTGCCTTTTTACGATTAGGAAATTACTAGTGTCAGGTCCATGTTATTTCTTATCTTTTTGGTTTTCAGAACTTTATTATATAATTTGAGTTTTTCTTCTCTCTCTCACCTGAAAGTAGTGAATGGAAAGTCAATGCTTGAATAGGTAGATTTACAGCAAAAGAAACTCTCATTAAGTATAGCAAAATGGTTGAGTTTCTAAACGGTGACTGGGACAGCTTCGTCAAGGGCGATCACACCGGGAAGTACTTTGCCTTCCAAGAGCTCCAAGCTGGCTCCACCACCGGTGGAGATGTGACTCATGACTCCTGCAACTCCTACTTTCTCCACTGCAGCCACTGAGTCTCCTCCTCCTATTATCGTTGTCACTCCTTTCTCACTTAGCTCTGCTAGTTTGTTCGCAATCGCCTGCAACAACCATGATCCGGGCTTAGTTTAACATGTTGTTCATCTCCCACATGTTTTACTCAATGAGGCAGGAATTGTGTTCTTACCTCTGTTCCAGCCGCAAACTTTTCCATCTCGAAAACTCCCATAGGTCCGTTCCAAATGACTGTCTGTGTTGTGTCCAGAGCTTCGTTGAAAGTTTTGATAGAGTCTGGACCAATATCCAGTCCCATCCATCCGTCCTCAATGCCTGATGCAGGCACAATCTACAAACATCCACATTACATACTTAGTACAACACAAAGCTCTAGCATAATCAAACTTTTAACAACTCTGCTTCTCTCATCTCTCTATTAGGATCGTCTGCAAATCCTAAAACAAAAGCACATTTTACAACATCTACTTCTCAGTCACACACAGTAAATCTAGAAGACCACTCAGATTAGTTTTTTTTTCTAATACACCAACCTAAGCAAAGACTAATTCTTACAGAAACACTACCATCACCCAAGAATTAGAATAACAAGGTGTTCAGAGACAGACCTTGCTGTTGGCATCAGGAGCGAACTTGTCAGCAACCACAACATCCGTTGGCAACAAAAGAGAGACTCCCTTGGCCTTAGCTTTGGCAAGGAGCTCTGTCGCCAATTCAAGTTTGTCTTCTTCAACAAGGGACGAGCCAACTGAAAGACCTTGTGCCTTGTAAAATGTAAAGATCATTCCACCACCAAGAAGAAGGATATCACACTTCTCAAGAAGTGACTCAATAACTCCAATCTTGGACGAGACCTTGGAACCACCAACGATGGCTGCAAATGGTCTCTTTGGGTTTGAAACAGCGCCAACAAGGTAGTCTAGCTCCTGAAGATGTCAGAGAAGTAAGTACAAAATTTCATGGTGTGCTGAATAAATCAAAGCAAAGAAGAAGAATCTCTAATCAAAATATCACCTTTTGCAAGAGGAAACCAGCAACTGAAGGCTTCAAGAACTTTGTGACTCCCTCGGTAGAAGCGTGGGCTCTGTGAGCAGTTCCGAAAGCATCGTTGACATAGAGATCAGCTAGCGCAGCAAGCTTCTTAGCAAACTCAGGATCGTTCTTCTCTTCCTCCTTGTAAAATCTCACATTCTCAAGAAGCAGAACTCCACCTTCTGGAAGAGCAGCCACTAAGCTCTCCACCTCCGGACCGATACAGTCGTCAGCTTTCTTGACCTGCAACAAATTTCACTCTCAATCGCTTGATTCCCACAGGAATATGACTTTCGTGAGACAAAAAGTCATGGACTTTACCTCAATACCAAGAAGCTCTGAAAGCCTAGGGACAAGAGGAGCCAAACTGAACTTTGGTGTGACTCCTTTTGGCCTTCCCTGAAAAGATAAAAGAGTCTAACTTTTAGTTGAGGCGATTGAGGAATTTCAAATGTATGTGAATGTGGTGAATGTTTTACCAGATGAGTGGAGAGGATGACTTTAGCGCCATTGTCGATCAAATACTTGATGGTTGGAATGGCGGCGCGGATTCTGGTATCGTCAGTGATGGTCTGATTGTCATCGAGAGGTACATTGAGATCAGCTCTCACGAAAACCTTCTTCCCTTTCAAATCAGCGGATGTCAGATCTCCGACGCTCTTCTTCGCCATGGATACAACTCCCCTGGTCCCTTTCCCGCGCACCGACTGTACCTTGGAGGCGACATGCACAGAGAAACGGGAGTCGACGACGGCGGAGAAGCCGAGAGGACGCGCGGAAACAGATTTGAAGGGAACGGGCAGAAGGGAGGCGCGTGCGCGAGTAGCGGCGGAGGAAGCGACGACGCCGGTTGACTTAAGGAGTGAAAAGGTGGAACTTGCGGCGGTGGAAGCCATAGCTGATCAAAGGAGATAAGAAAGATGATGAGGAAATGAGAAATGGAGAGAGACTGCTACTACTGATTGTCAATCAAAATGTGCTCTTTATCAGCCACTATGATGTTTTGTAGATTATGTTATATTTTTCCCTTATCGTTGACGAGAGGTTCAGAAAAATCCTTGTGAGCTTTGCCTTTTTGCCTTCAATCTTTTCACATTAGTATAGGAATCCATCATAATCAAAGTGTCTTTTATTATTACCAAAGATGCTTTGATCTATAGAATCTTGATACCATTTTGTTTGTCTCCAATGTAATACTAGTACAATAATAAGCCAACAACACAATTATGTGCTTTTATTTGAGATTTGAAAACCCAAATGATTCTAACTCTAAAGCTTGCTTGTGGGCAGACCAACAGGCTTGGCTCTGGACCTCTTCTCGACCACACGAGAGAGTTCCTTTACAGCTTCTTTAGGCAAATGGCGAGGTTTGCTAAGCCACAGTCCTCTATCTACCGCCATTGTCAGTCCATTCACAAATTTCCCTGTTTAAAACCAAACAATGCAATGTTTCATCATCTTAACCATCTACATATGCTTTATACTACTAAAGAAGTGTGTGATTCAGTCACAAACCAGAATCACAGCTCAAGTAGAGTGCAGCCATGGCGATATCCCACTTCTCTCCGAGTTTATAGAGAGGCATGTACTCTCTGGCTTTGCTTTCAATCTCCTCAGGTACAAGTTTACTCATTCCAGGCGTACCTGCAATCGGGCCTGGTGCAATCCCGTTCACTCTAATATCGTAATCAGTCCCCCACTCCAATGCCAAGTTTCTAGTTGTAGCATCAACCGCTGCCTGTTTCAAAGTTTCAACATTTAAGATCCCATTGCTACATTTGATTCTTCTTATTACTACTACTACAATTCAATTACCTTGGCTGCAGAGACGTGTATTTGGTACCAAGAAGCTGTGTAATGCAAAGTAGCACTAATGTTGAGAATCGAACCGCCGCTTGATGATGAGTCTCTCCCAGGTCCTCCTTTCTTAAGATACTTGAGCGCTGCGTGGCACATGGTGAATGTTCCCACTGCATCAATGTCCATAACTGCATAAAAAAAAAAAAAAAAAAAAAAAAACGATTTCTTTCAGCTACACAACACTCGAATTTTACGAAAATTGCAGGCAGAGTTCATCTCAAAGCGTTATTAGAAACGACGATGGAATCACCTGTTCGGAATCCGTTGGGAGTCAAATCCTCAGCTGAAGCGAGGAAATTTCCGGCGGCGGAGTTAACGAGAATATCAATCCTTCCGAAATGCTGAAAAGTCGATTCCACGACTCTTTTCGCATCCTCTTGCTTACGAACATCACCTTCCAATCCAATTGCCTTCACAGAGGCACAATTCAGCAAGCAATCCAATTCATCACAAACTAAAAGCCAATCGGGAATCGAAGAGGATTACCGAAATTCCGAGAGATCGGAGAGCGGAGACGGCGTCGTCGAGGACTTGTTTCCGGCGACCCATGATGGCGATGGAAGCTCCATGTTTGCCGAACTGAGAAGAGATCTCGAAACCGATGCCGGATCCGCCGCCGGTGATGAGAGCCACCTTGCCTTTGAGCACCTCGGGTTTAAACGGAGACTCCATAATCACCACACGCGATTCGCAAAAGCGCCTAGAGACCAACCAAACAAAATGTAAATAAGCACACTAGCGTCTCCTTTCTAGTCTCTTCCACCACCAACCACCTACTGCCAAATTTGTTTTAAATATTTAGATCCGCATCTTAACACAAATAGAAAAAAAAAAACTACAAAATGATCATGATTCTACTAATAAACAGTTGTTTACAGATAATCAAGAAGAAGAAAACTCTAAAATGATTACGTTAAATTCCTGAACACTGTGAAAATCAGATGTGGTATATAATCCGATATATTTACTGGATTTAATTGCAATTTAAAAAATAAAAAATAAAAAAAGGGTTACGAGATCGAACCCTTTTTTGACTTTATTTTCTTCACCTATCTGCGCCGCGCGCTCTCTCTCACAAAGCTTCTCTCATCCGCTCGGTTTAATTCTCACCACCACCAAGCTTCCGTTTTTAGAACCCTTTCGTATCTCCCATTTTTTTTTTTTTTTTGGGTCGATCTCAATTTCTCAATTCACATCGTCTTAGTAACAATGAAGTTAAGAGATTGATAAAAACCCAATCGTTCCCGTTCTATTCGAGAATTTTTGTTTTCACCTAGATTAGTCGGTATATAATCGCTCAAGCTTAAGATTTGGAACCGAATTTTACTGTGATGGTTTTGGTTACGCAACCAATTTATGGATTCGTTGCGTGGAGTTTATCGCGCTGAAGTTGAAACCCTAATTCCTTGGGACTTGTGCACTCGCACAGTGCAGTCACTAGTCTTCTTCTTCTTCGGCTTCTCCCGTTTTCTTATATTTGGCCGTAACTCGGCTTAGAGGCGCTAGTAATGGCGTCCAAAGGTGGGAAATCTAAACCTGATATCGTAATGTCGTCCAAAGGTTCGAAATCTAAACCTGATAGCGACTCCAGAGCTAAGCGCCAGAAGGTTAGCTCCTCTTCCAAATTTTAGTTTTTTCGCTTGTCTTCATCTTCCTCCGATAGATTCTACTTTGAGAGCTTATCAAGATTTCGAAGTCCCATTTACCTCGAGCTTTAATCGGTTCTGTTATTCTTGCAGACGCTTGAAGCTCCTAAAGAACCACGTCGCCCCAAAACTCACTGGGACCATGTTTTGGAGGAGATGGCTTGGCTGTCAAAGGTAACAGATTGATCCTTTAGCAAGAATTGGTATGCATGCATGTCGGTTGTTTCTGATGATTGGTGACCATTTGTAGGATTTTGAGTCTGAGAGGAAATGGAAGCTGGCGCAGGCGAAGAAGGTTGCTTTGAGGGCTAGCAAAGGCATGCTGGATCAGGCATCTAGGGAAGAAAGGAAGCAAAAGGTTCTCTCTTCTTCCTCTCTTTTCTCTTTCAGAGTACTCGCATACTCCAGCATTAGTTTTTGATTGATTGTATTTCCGATTACAGGAAGAAGAACAGCGACTTAGGAAAGTAGCTCTCACTATTTCAAAAGATATCAAAAAGTTTTGGATGAAAGTTGAGAAGCTGGTAATTCTCTAATTTTCTCTCCCTGGCCTTGAAGTTTAAGATTTGAGATCGTTTCTAAGCATCTGAACTTGTTGACTGGGGACTCTATAGGTACTGTATAAGCATCAGCTGGTACGGAATGAGAAAAAGAAGAAGGCTATGGACAAGCAACTTGAGTTTCTGTTAGGCCAGACTGAGAGGTTGCTATTGGAATGATATTCTTGCATAGTTTTTTATTTCTGGAACGTAACGAAATACTGAATTTAGCGTGTTGGTTTATGTTAGGTACTCAACTATGTTGGCAGAAAATCTAGGGGAGCCTTCTAAACGGGACCAAAATAATTCTCCAAAAACTCTACTGGCCATCGAATCAAAAAGTGATGAGGAAAGGGCAGAAGAGTTACCTTCGGATTTGAATGCTTGTGAGCACATATTACTCAGCACCGCATAAGTTTACTCTATGCAATGAGCTGTATCCTGACAATTCTCCTCTAACGATACCCGCAGGTCTTGAATCAGAAACTCTTGACATCGATGATGAGGAGTACGCTCTAAAATCCGAGGATGAGTCCGTGAGTTTCACTATATCATTTTTTAATTTTTACCACTTATTGGCAGTTAATGTGTATCCCAGCTTGAATCTACCTGCATCTTAAAGAATAGATGGAGAATAATTTGCTCTATTTCTCAAGGAAGTGACACTTATTAACAAATGAAATTGCTCTGTCTTTTCATGAGACCATCCTGCACCCAACATATATGTTATACTCTTGTTTTGAATAGTTTCTTTGGAGATATGCGTGATTATTGTTTGTTTTGTAAATGTGTCTCTGATTATTTGAGGAATAAATATGTTCCATATCTCATTTCTAACCCACAATTGCACTTAGGAAGATGATGAAGATACTATTGTGGAGGATGAAAAACACTTCACCAAACAGGAAAGACAGGAAGAGTTGGAAGCTTTGCAAAATGAAGTGGATCTACCAATTGAGGAGCTGCTCAGACGTTATAAGAGAGGTTGATATAATTGTAGACTCGCTATTCATTGATTTTCCGCATCTTTTCATAGTTACTTTGAACTATACAAACTTATTGTTTAAGAGTTTAATTTTGATCCTTCAGTCAGCCGAGAAACTAGCCCAGAAAAAGATGGAGATGATGCTAATATGACTTCAGTAGCTGAAGATCAGATAGAAGGTAAGCAATATTAAGTCCTTATTATGTATTTGAAGCAATGCAATTGCTCTTTGACTTCATCTTCCCATTCGACATTTGCAGCAGACGAGAACAATCTTACAGCTTCTGAAGAAATAGAAGAGAGCCCGAGTGTTCGTCGTTCTGTAAGTTGTATGTCTTTTTAATATCCCATTGTCTGATTTGTCATGAAAGTTCTGGCTCAAAATAATATATATCCTTTATTATCAGAATGATAACGATGGTCATTTGGCAACATTTGAGACCCAGTCACATGAACACGAGCCAGGCTCAACGACTGCCTCTGTGAAGTCTGGAAAGGAAGATCATACCTATGATTTCAACGACGATCAGGTAACTAAATCTGGTTTTCTTTGTTTATTCTTTTTCAGAAGAGTTTAACCATGTTCTTCTCTGCAATTAACATTATGTCTCTGATTATGACTGCAAATGCTGAATTTCATGTTTCACTGATGTATGCCCACATGTGCAGGAAGATGATGAGTTTATTATTGCCAATGGGGACGAAAAGGTCAGACACTTCTCATCAAATGCTAAAGTTTATTTTTTAGGAACTTCACTCTTTTAACTTGATTCTCTTATCCCTGAGCTCTTGTTTAAGAAGTTTAACGAACAGATAGATTCAAAGTTGTTTATTTGCTTTTGTGGTGCAGGACGATGAGACGACCCTGTCTGTCGAAGAGGAATTGGCAAAAGCTGATAATGAAGACCCTGGCGAAGAGGTGACAAACCTATTTATTATTCTGATTTCCTGTAATATGAAACGTTGTTAGCCAGAGAGTTAACAAACGGAAACCTGTCCCTGCACTGCAGATATCTCTACTGCAGAAGGAGAGTGAAATGCCTATTGAAGTATTGCTTGCAAGGTATAAGGAGGTATGCTGTTAAGTCTCGTGCGTGCCTGTGTTCAGTTGCTTTTATCGTTTTTTTTCTGTAACTTATGTTTCATGTAATAGGATTTCGGTGACAAGGATATGTCTGAAGATGACTCTGGCGATTCATGTGCTATATCTGAAGACTGTGTAGCAGACTCTCCCGGAATCAGGCAGCAAGCTGATTCAGATAACGAAAATGTTGATTCAATGGAGTGTAAGCCAGATTTGCAGCCATGCTCAGGAAAATTGGAAGGCACATCCAATGAATTAACCGAAGAGAATGGTATAGATAGTAGTGATAAAATTGCTGATGCAGCAGCAGCAGCAAGATCTGCGCAGCCAACTGGATATACATTCTCCACAACAAAAGTTCGAACGAAACTGCCGTTTCTTCTCAAGCACTCTTTGCGTGAGTACCAACACATTGGTTTGGACTGGCTTGTCACAATGTATGAGAAAAGGTTGAACGGGATTCTAGCTGATGAAATGGGTCTTGGAAAGACAATCATGACCATTGCTCTTCTCGCACATCTTGCTTGTGATAAGGGGATATGGGGTCCCCATCTGATTGTGGTTCCAACAAGTGTGATGCTCAATTGGGAAACTGAGTTTCTTAAATGGTGTCCTGCATTTAAAATTCTCACCTACTTTGGGAGTGCAAAGGAGCGGAAACTCAAGAGACAAGGATGGATGAAGTTGAACTCATTCCATGTATGCATAACGACCTATAGGCTAGTTATTCAGGACAGTAAAATGTTTAAGCGCAAGAAGTGGAAATACTTGATTCTTGACGAAGCCCATTTAATCAAGAATTGGAAGTCTCAGAGATGGCAAACTTTATTGAACTTCAACTCTAAACGCAGGATTTTGTTGACTGGTACACCGCTGCAGAATGATCTTATGGAATTGTGGTCACTGATGCATTTTCTGATGCCACATGTGTTTCAGTCTCACCAGGAATTCAAGGACTGGTTCTGTAACCCGATAGCAGGGATGGTGGAGGGACAAGAAAAAATCAACAAAGAAGTTATTGATCGCTTACATAATGTCCTCCGTCCTTTCCTTCTACGTCGCCTAAAAAGGGATGTGGAGAAGCAGCTGCCTTCGAAACATGAGCATGTTATTACCTGTAGGTTGTCTAAGAGGCAGCGCAACTTGTATGAGGACTTCATAGCAAGCACAGAAACACAGGCTACGCTCAACAGTGGAAGTTTTTTTGGGATGATAAGTATCATAATGCAACTGCGGAAAGTTTGTAATCATCCTGATCTCTTTGAGGGCCGTCCTATTGTAAGTTCTTATGACATGGCTGGCATTGATGTGCAGTTGAGTTCGACAATTTGTTCTCTGCGTTTGGAAAGTCCATTTGCCAAGGCCGATCTTGAGGCTCTGGGATTCTTATTCACACATCATGATTTTTCTATGAATTCTTGGGAAGGTGATGAGAGAAAAGCTATCTCAACGCCCTCAGATTTAATCAAGCAGCGGGCGGACTTGAAAGATAATCCGGAAGCAATCCCTCTGAGTTTGATAAACCGCAAAAATCTGCAAGGGACAAATATTTTTGAAGAAATTCGAAAGGCCCTCTTTGAGGAGAGGGTTAAAGAATCTAAGGAACGGGCAGCAGCCATTGCATGGTGGAATTCTTTGAGATGCCAGAAAAAGCCTGCTTACTCTACATCTCTAAGAAGTCTTTTAACCATTCGGGGTCCTGTTGATGCTATGCACCATCTTAAAGCTAATTCTTCATCTTACATGTATTCCTCAATGCTCGCTGACATAGTTCTTTCACCGGTCGAGCGTTTTCAGAAGATAATTGAGCTAGTTGAAGCTTTCACATTTGCGATTCCAGCTGCACGAGTGCCTTCACCTGCTTGTTGGTGCAGCAAAAGTGACTCTCCTGTTTTTATTAGTCCATCGTACAAGGAGAAAGTTACAGATCTGTTGTCACCTCTTCTGTCACCGATCAGACCTGCGATTGTTAGGAGACAGGTTTATTTTCCAGATAGGAGGTTGATACAGTTTGATTGTGGTAAGCTGCAGCAGCTTGCTATGTTATTGAGAAAATTAAAATTTGGGGGTCACAGAGCGTTGATATTCACGCAAATGACCAAAATGCTTGACATCTTGGAGGCTTTCATCAGTTTATACGGTTATACCTATATGCGTCTTGACGGCTCTACTCCGCCAGAAGAGAGGCAGACATTAATGCAGCGATTTAACACAAATCCCAAGATCTTTCTTTTCATCTTGTCAACCCGAAGTGGGGGTGTTGGCATCAACCTTGTGGGTGCAGACACAGTTATTTTCTATGACAGTGACTGGAATCCTGCTATGGATCAACAAGCACAAGATCGCTGCCACAGGATAGGTCAGACACGGGAAGTGCATATTTATCGGTTGATAAGTGAGAGCACCATTGAAGAGAATATCTTGAAGAAAGCAAACCAGAAGCGTGCGCTTGATAATCTAGTGATCCAAAATGGTGAGTATAACACCGAGTTTTTCAAGAAGCTTGATCCCATGGAATTGTTTTCTGGGCATAAAGCTCTGACCAAGAAGGATGAAAAGGAAAAAAACAATAATGGCGGGGCGGAGCTACCTCTGTCAAATGCAGATGTTGAGGCTGCTTTGAAACAAGCAGAAGATGAAGCAGATTATATGGCTCTCAAAAGAGTAGAAGAAGAAGAAGCTGTGGACAATCAAGAGTTTACAGAAGAACCTGTTGAGAGACCAGACGACGATGAGCTAGTAAATGAAGATGACGTAAAGTCTGATGAGCCTGCTGATCAAGGTGTAACTGCAGCAGGATCAACCAAAGAAGAAATTTCATTGTTACCAACTGATACCAGGGATGAGAGAGCTGATATCACTATTTCAAGCCAAGAAGAAGATACTGATGTACTAGCTGATGTCAAGCAAATGGCTGCAGCAGCCGCCGCTGCTGGACAAGCTATCTCATCTTTTGAGAATCAGCTACGTCCTATTGATAGATATGCGATTAGATATTTAGAGGTTTGGGACCCCATCATTGTTGAAGCTGCAATGGAAAATGAAGCGGGATTTGAAGAAAAAGAATGGGAACTTGACCACATTGAGAAGTGCAAGGAGGAAATGGAAGCTGATATTGATGATGGTGAAGAGCCTCTTGTTTATGAGAGTAAGTGTAACCTTTTATGCTCATTCCTCCCAATCATTTAACTAATATTCCTATTTAGTTGACAATGAATCTAGCCGATGATATGTCTCTGTATAATGAGAGTTCATTGCTGCTTTTTAGCTCACATGAGATGTTAATGCTATTTTCAGAATGGGATGCTGATTTTGCAACCGAGGCATACAGGCAGCAAGTTGAAGTTTTAGCTCAGCACCAGGTGAGATTAATTAATGCATCTACCATGTCCTTCTGCAATTTCAGCTTGGTAACGTATTTACTTGTGTTTGTAGTTGATGGAAGATTTGGAAAATGAAGCTAGGGAGAGGGAAGCTGCAGAGGAGGCTGAAAGAGTTTTGATACTGTAAGAAACTTCTGAACCCACACAGTTCGTTGTCTATTGAAAATTATACGTCAGCATTGATAAGATAATTGAAACCATTCTTTTCCTCAGGAACGAAAGCGCTCCTGTACTTAAACCTAAGAAGAAGAAGAAGGCGAAGAAAGCCAAATATAAATCACTGAAGAAAGGATCACTGGCTGCGGAACCAAAACATGTGAAGATGGAGGTTGAAGCTTCGTCCGATGATGATAATGAAGAATGCGGCTATGTGAGTAGCAGTGACTCAGAAATGCTTTCGCGGCATTTCCGGACGCCAGTGAGAACCAAGAAAAGAGAATTAGTCGTTGACACTGAAGAAGAGAATACCTCGAAGAAGAAAGCAAAGAAGCACAAGAAGTCTCTTCCACATTCAGATATCAAATGCAAGCAATTAAGTGCTCCGCTTGATGAACATGCACCATCAAAGCCTTCTGACAGTATGGCTGTTGATAATGAAATGAAACTGGCAAACAGGGGTAAAACTATGGGGAAAAAATTCATCACTCCAATGCCAATAAAGCGTGTGCTTATGATCAAGCCAGAGAAATTGAAGAAAGGGAATCTGTGGTCTAGGGACTGTGTTCCCTCGCCTGATTCATGGTTGCCTCAGGAAGATGCCATATTGTGTGCCATGGTTCATGAATATGGGCCTAACTGGAGTTTGGTTAGCGGGACTCTTTATGGAATGACAGCTGGTGGGGCATACAGAGGACGGTATCGCCATCCTGCATATTGCTGTGAGAGATATAGAGAGCTTATTCAACGACATATTTTGTCTGCTCCCGACAGTGCAGTGAACGAGAAGAACCTCAACGCAGGTTCTGGAAAGGCTCTCCTTAAAGTCACTGAGGTAATGTTGATTATGCCATACTGTTAGGTTTTGTTCGTGAGATTGATACAAGCGAGTCAGATTATCTAGTCGCTAGCGTGATTAAAGTAGTAATGCTTTACATTAATATCTCATCTTGGTGCAGGAAAATATCAGGTCACTCCTAAACGTTGCAGCAGAGCAGCCAGATACGGAGATGCTCCTTCAGAAACATTTTACCTGCTTGCTGTCATCAATTTGGAGGACGTCGACCCGCACTGGGAACGATCAAATGCTCTCCCTCAATAGTCCAATATTCAACAGACAGTTTATGGGTTCTGCGAATCACACTCAAGATGAAGCAAGAAAACCTTTTCAGGGGATGAAGATCACCAGCTTAAGTAGCAAGTTGTTAGAATCTGCTCTCCAGGACTCAAGCAAGAGTCAGCCTAACGATACCGTTTCCCGTTCTAGAGTACCGGAGGATCAACCTATCAATAAAGTGAAATTAGACCTAACCTTGGAATTCCCGCTTGGCTATGATGATTACCCAACTCATTTTTCACCCATCATAAAGGTATCCATTGATGAGATGGATTCATTCAATTATGTGAATGACCCTCCAGAGGAAGATAAGCTAAAAGCTTCTCGGGTTGCTGCAGAGAACCGTTACAGGTTTGGAACTCTGATAGATCCTATTTTTCTTTTGGTATATCCATGTTCAAAGCTTGAGGTAATTCTTAAAGCAGTAGTCACTAAAGCATCATCTGTGGTCTTGTTTGTAGAAATTCTGCAAATGCTTGTTTTGAAGATTCATTTGGATGGGCTTCAAGCACGTTTCCAGCATATGATCTGAAGTCAAGGACAGGCATGAAAGCACAATCCCTGGGGAAGCACAAACTATCCGCCTCAGACACACCCAAGTCTACAAAAAGCAAACAGCGTAAACTCTCAGCAGCAGAGCAATCGGAAGTGGGATGGGTAAGGCCAAATGATCCGAATCTCAAGTTTGATTTCACACCTGCGGATAAGGAGGAGGACGAGGAGGAGAAGGCGGATTCAGACGAGATAGAGATGATAGGTTGTTCACATTTGTATGATCCTTTCTTTACCTCAGGCCTTGGTGATTGCTCACTAGCTTCCGATCTCTCAGAACTAGAGTAGTTAGGAAAAGAAAGAACAGCCTTCTGTAAAAGTAGAAACTGCATGCAGACGAAAATGCTAATGATTGTGGATGACCATTTTCTTAACCTCTGTTGGGCAATTTCTTATGTAAAGCAGAAAGTGAAAATGACCAGCTTCGTTGGTTTTTCTTTGTGTTTCCGAAGATCTTCAAATAATCGAATCTCCAAAAAAATCATTAAAAAAATTTCAAAATCTGAGCTTTTAGAAAACAGAGTTTCATCCAAACCTACTGAGTAATACAACTAAACAATCTGTTCAAGACAAAACAAAAAACTGGAGTACATAAAGACATGATTCGATGAGTTCTAGAGAGTTGGGTAATCCAAGTTGAGCCACTCGTTGCATTCATCTTGCCCTGGTTCAACCGTTTGGTTAGGCAGCTCCTGACCTTCTTCCCTTTGGATGTCTAGTGACTCCTCCGGATTAGCAGCTGTAGGAGGAGGAATCTGCTGATCTTCAAAAAGAAATTCTAGTGACTGTGGAGCATTCAAATCAAATCCACATGCCATTGGCTCCAGCTCCCCGAAGTTTCCCTTGAACTCCTCTGCCTGATTAGGCTTCTCGCTGTTCATAACGTCATTAGAGAGTGATGAGACTGCTGAGGAGGAGGAGGACACTGAAGAGGCTTGGTGATTCGTAACATTTGATGATGATAAAGACTTGCCCTTCTTGAGATGAGTGTTCCACACGTTCTTGATCTCGTTGTCTGTTCTTCCCGGCATGTATGATGCGATCATGGACCACCTGATAGATCAACATCATAAATAATTAATTGTTGCTTATAAACGTTTTTGGATGGATGATGATAATATCATAATACTAATTACTGAGATTAGAGAGGCGTGGCTTTACTTGTTTCCATGAGTTTGGTGAAGGTGGATAATGGTATCTTCATCCTCTTTGGTGAAGTTGCCGCGTTTGATACCTGGCTGAAGATAGTTCATCCATCTCAAACGGCAACTCTTTCCGCATCTCTTCAGTCCTGTTTTGTTTTAAGTTAGTCATGTACATCTTATTATATAAAGCTGATGCGCGACGTGGTTGCGACACGTAGGATTTTTATAAAATATAGATTGCGACATGTGTCACTTTTAATGTTATATCCGTTAAGATCGTGACACATGTCTTCGGAAAAAGGAAATTTTTATTTTAAAGAAAATTTTAATATCTTATATAAAAACGAAATTTTATATAATAAAATGAAAATAATGTAATAAAAAATTCCTATTAGTATATGTAATAGGTATGTAAACTAAATATCCTAAACTATATGAAATTGGTTACATGAACCCCCTATAAAAAGAGAGCTACTTGTAGTCTCTTTTTCTCATTCACAAACTCATCAAAGCAAATTCAGAAAATCTCTTTGATTCTCTTTCTCTAATTTCAAAATCATGTCTTTGAAAGTTCAAGAGAACAGTGGAGATTATTTGACTCTAGGTCAATTGGATCGAAATTAAAATTATTTGAATAAAATCCTATTAGTACATTAGGAAAAATCAGAAAACAGGAAACAAACAATTAAAAAGAAAAAATATTACATCCATTATGAGAAGTAAAGAAAAAACATAATTCTATTACGAAAAGGAAAAAAAACGAAAATCAGAAAAACATGAAGAAATAATTAAAAAATGTTACATCCAATAAGAAAAGGAATAAAAAACATATTCCCATTACGAAAATGAAAAAAAAAATATATAACAAGCTATATTTTTTAAGTTTCTTTCTCATTAAGAAATAAAATTCATGTCTTTAAAAGTTAAAGATATCAATGAAGAATACTTAACTTTAGATCGATACATGTGTCTAATATTTGATGAAGTGATGACATGTGTCAACACAAGAAAATTGGAAAAATGTAGTAACATAAATAAATAAACTAACAAAATAATATTAAAACAACTAACTAATAATGAAAATGAAAATTTATAATGGTCAGAGGCAAAAACGAAATTGAAAAAGAAACAATATAAATAGAAAACTAACAAAATAATTATTAAGGAACTAAATAATATTAAAAAAGAAAATTTTATAATGGACTGATCTTCTAATATTAAATAGTTTAATTTTCCATGTTTTGTTAGGTAAAAAATATTAAAAATAAAGATTTCATCATGGAATAATCAAAGTTTCATAAAATAATGAGTCGATTAGATTTAGACACATGTAAATCTTTCTATTTCATATCATGAATTCAAAATAAAAATGTAAAAGACTACATATCTTTATTTAGAGATTTGTTATCGGGTTTTTAATATTATTTTCTTATTTTTAAAATTGATCAAATTTTGTTTAATATTCTTCCGTGATTTAAAAAAATAAAAAATAAATAAACCCGCGTATACGCGGGGCCTAATCTAGTTATTAATAATTCTGAACACCAAAACTACACAACTTTAGAGTAAAAAACTTCAAATTAAAATTAGTAATTGAGTAATTTAGTCATCTAAATACACAATGGCGTCAAAGCAAATATGTATTAACTTTTTATTTTATTTTTGTAAACAGTGGAAAACAGTCTGTATTACCTATTTTTATTTCCATAATTTTTTTTTTCTTAAAACTTCTTATTTACAAAAAGTTTCAAGATTTTTTTTTCCCTTTTTAAAGATTTATTTTAGAGAGAAATGTAACCATTTATTTTCAAGATTTTATCACATCTCCTGGATGAATCTGTATGAGACTGCCTATCGAACTTTAAACTTTATATGAAAAAAAGGAGCAATATACACGAACGTTACAGGCAGATTATGGTCAACCATCGCCTCTTATTTTATTCTTCAAAAAAAAATATGCTTCCTTTATGGAAAAAATATACCAAAATCATTATTGGAAAAAATGTGACTACTAAATACATCTTGTGTGTTCTTCATTTTTATTGTTTAGATATGTAAAAATTGTAACGACCCTATGAACATCTCCAACAACAATAACCAAAAACCAATGTTTAATTTGTGAAATTTTAGAGTCTTTCTGTTGATTAATCGTAATAAGATTTTCGTTCTGAGCTTTTTGAGAGGAAAGATAAAATAATAAATAATAAAACAAAGAGCGATCAGATTGTATGCATCTTGTCAGATCAAAAAATATTAAGAAGCATTAGAGAGAGGAGAGACAAAATAAATTTTTACAAAACAAAATACATGAAAAATGCAAATGAGAAATAGTGGACATGCAAAGCAATAGAGGACCTTCTCTAACAAAATAAATAAATAAATAATCCAAATAAGAGATTGTGATAGAAGGACAGACCAGCGAGTTTGGGGAGAGATCTCCAGTTTTGATGACCATTTTTTAGGATAAAAGCTCTGAGTTTTTCACTTTCTTCTTCACTCCATGGCCCTCTCTTCACTTGGCTATTGTCACAGCACGGTGCTTTCTTTTTTTTAGCCATCCCAATCGATTTTTTTTTTCAGAGAATCTTATCGATATTGATGTTTATATACACACACACATTTACGGTTAATGGGTTATAAACCACAAGGGTCATGCCACTAAGTCATATGTCCTAGTACTAGTTGAAGCAATAAATGGAAATGAGCAACTATTTCGCAAATATATTTTTTCTATTTAATCATAATTTTTTTTTTAATCGTTTGACATAGAATCCTGCGTTAACCCATATATTCGTGCCTCTTACGTATTGTTCCTATTTGTTGCAGTCTTTTTAATCTTAATCCAAATCAACTAATCTATTTTCAAAGGCTCACAAGTATTCTAACTAATTAAATACTTCCTCCGTTCCTAAAATATGAATTTAATTAAATACCGGAAAGCTGAAATTTTATATAAATTATCAGACTGATTTTCTTTTATAAAAGCAAAATTAACTCATATTTTGAGAAAATAAAATAACACATATTTTTAAAGAATTAATTTATTTGTTTATAAAAGTAAATGTTGAATTCGCCGATCGTTTGGATGTAATTGCTAAAAAAACAAAAATTGAATATTGACTATATATTAGTTGATTCTGGAACTTGATTTATGTTATTTATGAAAAGACAATGCAAAAACAATTTCCCTTATTTTTATTTTTATACCAAGTATTCAATTTGAACAAAGCTTTAATCTCTGCTAGATTTTATTCTAAAAGAAAATGAGTAAATACACATAAAATGGTATATATGATAAAAATGTAATGTGCCATCTCACTATTGCCGTTGAACTTATTGCTGCATATATGGAATATATAACAGCCTATATTAATCTGTAAATTTTATTTCATTTACAATTGCTCTATTCCAGCCTAAATTATTTTTTTTACAGCTGGAAAAATCACATATCAGCTATATATGGTAAATAATGTGTCATCGAAACTTAGATGCAAATTATATAATTAAAAATATATCATATGAAGAAAGTTCAAAGAAATTGTGGAACATTATCAAACAAACATAATGTAGAGTCACAGAAATATATAATTGTTATAAATGTCAAACGTCAACAAAAGAAGTGTATACGTTTGTTGACATACCTGGTAAACTTAAATTGTGTAGACCACCATCGCGAGCATAATAAATTTTGTTTTTCAATTTCTATATAAATGATCATTAATTTAATCAATGTTTTCAACACAACTAAATTATAAAACTTGCCAAATTTCTATCGTCTCGTTTTCTATATTATTAATATCTTCTCTTTATGAGGGTATTAATTTATATATATATTTATCCTCACAACAATTTATCTACTATTATAACACATTATCATTATGATCACTCTGCAAATTTGCGAAATAGCTACAAATATTTTCATATTATACATGCTATTATAACGGGCGGTTTGTCGCATGTATACTTTATTTTTTGTTTATGTAGTGGATGTTTCACACACCGTTATTCACTTAAAACTTTAGTGGACGGTTTGTCGCCTCGTTGTTATTTTGCCACTTATATTATGGATACTTAATGTACCATAATTTTTAATTCATTGTTCTTATTTTACTACACGGCTGGGTTGATGCAAAAATTATTTACTGTTGAAAATGGATGATTTCATCACCATAATATAACTGTTAAATATTAGTTAATATTATGGTTATTATATAAAGAGACTCAACCACATGAATATAAATCATTCATCTGAAAATAAGTAAAATTAGTTTATGTTCATTTGAATTTCATATTTATTTTGTTTTAACTCTTTATCACCTAACTATCAAAAAGAAAATGTTCAGTAAATTTTACTTTATATTTGGAACTTGACTCTATGTTATTTATGCAAAGACGATATAAATTACTTGTTCCTTCCTTTTTATTTGTTAACAAGTATGCAATGTTCATATCTGTAAGATTTTATTTTAAAGAAAAATGAGTAACTAAGCATGTAGATGGTATAGCTGTTTAAAATATAATTTGTCATATCACTATTGCCATTGAAATTAATTGGTCCATATATGGAATAACAGCCTATATTAATCTGTAAATTTAATTTATTTACAACTGTATACCAGCCTATATATTAATCTGTAAATTTAATTTATTTACAACTGGGCGAATCACATATTAGCTATATACGGTAAATAATGTGTCATCTAAACTCAGATGCTAATTATATAATTTAAAATGAGCATATGAACTAAGTTTAAAGAAATTGTGAAATATAATAAACAAAAAAATGTAGAGTCACATAAATAAATGGTTGTTATAAAAGTCAAAACGTTAACAAAATAAGTGTATGCGTTTATTGATATATGTGGTAAACTTAAATTGTGTAGAGCCACCAATTTTTTAGAGCAGCAAATATTCCTATCCCGGCCGGAAATTCATGTCGGTAAAATAGAATTTATGAAATATACATTTTAAGGTAGACCTCGAGCATTTTGTGCTAGCTTATCTGCCCTCGTATCCCTGATTCTTGGGATGTGCATGACTGAACAGAAAGTGAACATTCTCATGTATTTGTTTATCTCGTCGGGTAGTAATGAGAAAGCTGGCCACTTTTTGTGTCAACACCATCTTCACTACATC